GATAGGATAGGATAGGATAGGATAGGATAGGATAGGATAGGATAGGAGAGATGAGAGAGACAGACAGACAGACAGACAGACAGACAGACAGGATGGATAGAGACAGGATGGATAGAGACAGGATGGATGGATGGATGGCTAGATAGATAGACAGACAGACAGACAGACAATGATAGATGATACATATAGATGATAGTTGTATCTGTGGAAGGAACAGCTAATTTAAATTAACATTTCTCCCCTCTTTCTGTGAAGGAGAAAAGTTTGCCTAAAACTTTCGTCTAAACAATGAACAATTAAGCCTTCCTCTTGCACAGCTTTGCATCTGTTATAACGCCAGACTCCAAAACGCAATCCTGCACCAAGACGTAAACTTCTTTTCCTTGTTCTTCCCAGGATCCCACGAATGGCTATTACAGTGTGAACACCTTCAAGGACCACCATTCCACGCCCACCATCTCCCTCTCAGGTTGCCAGCCAGAGATGAGGCCGGCCAACAAGCAGCGTGTGCCAACAGGCATGTCCTTCACCAACATCTACACAACCCTGAGTGGGCAGAACCGCCTCTACGACTACAGCCAGCGTTTCATCTTGGGCATGGGGAGCAGCTCCATCGAGCTGTGTGAACGGGAATTCCAGCGGGGTTCCATGAGTGACAGCAGCTCCTTCCTGGACACGCAGTGCGATAGCAGCGTCAGCAGCAGCGGGAAGCAAGATGGCTACGTACAGTTCGACAAGGCCAGCAAAGCTTCAGCCTCGTCTTCTCACCATTCACAGTCCTCCTCTCAGAACTCTGACCCTAGCCGGCCTCTGCAAAGGAGAATGCAGACGCACGTGTGAAAGGATGGGACAAAACTAGCACTGGGAGGGGAAGGAGGATAGGATAGACTGACCAGCAGGTCGAGAGACCACCTGAGCTGAATCCTGGCCCTGCTGAAGCCAGCAAATCCTGGGGGGTGGGGATGGAGACTGTTTGACCAGTTTATTTGTGTTCTAGTGACCTGTAGCTCCACAAAGCACTTCTCCCCTTCTTCTTCTCTAGAGTAAAAGCTAACGCAAGGCGAAGGGAGCTAGACAGAGCCTTGTACTGCAGACAGAACTCTCCAGAGAGACTTAATGCCTTCTTTCCTTAGACCTGTTGACTCCCTTCCACAAGAGGGAAGGACTCACGACAGCTGAACCCAAACTAACCTTAAGCACAATGTCCATTTCCTTCCTGTAGCAAACCCAGGCGTAGAAGGAGGATGGGAACAAAGAAAAAGGAAATGACAAATAACTTATTTGGGAAACGTAGGGAGGAAACAAATCCCCCTCCCCCGGGCCCCCTTCTTTTAGGGAGGACGGGCTTCTAAACCCAACGGGGCAGGAATAACAACATCCATGGCCTTCACTGGGAGGCTGGGCATCCTGGCTTTTCCTACCAAATAAGATAATCTCCCTGGAGATTTGGAGGTAGCTATGACCATCTATCTCACCTACCAGCAATTTATATTTCCCAGTTCACATCCAGCTGGCTCCCTGGTTGGGCCCAGGAGAGACATCTAAGCTGTCTTTCGCTGGCATGTCATCTACCTTGGGTCCTGAAGATAAATTTGACGGAGGCTTCTAGAATCTTCTGTGCTTTCCACTTCCTCTTCCTTAGTGACATCGATTCCTGTCTGTGGACATTTCGGAGAAGGTGCATCTTTAACGCTGCCCGTCAGGTGCACCAGCAAAGCGACCCTCCCTGCTGCTTAGCCTCATTTGCAAATTATAAGGGGTGGGGGTGGGGAGCTGTGTTCTTCAAAGCAACCTCAAACAACATGGCTTAACTTAAGGAAGTTTCTGTGTGAGGGGGAGGGGGTTAGCCATTGGTGTAATAACGTGCACTGACTGCTAAACCTGGTCTTTTATTATTTTCAATGACTTTTATTTTGTTTGGTGTTTGGTGTTTATCATATTACAATGTGTCTTTGGACTAAAAAAAAAACAAAAAACCAGAATTGAGAACTTTTAAGAGTGGCTTCTCAGCAAAATACCCAGGTATGCCTCTAGCCCATCCATCATACTCTGATTTTGATTAAGAGGGAACTGTTTGATGGAGGGAAGACTGAACTCCTCTTTTGAGTGACATGTGACAATCACTCCCAGAGTGGGCTGCTGTGGCGAGTGAACATAAAACATTTCTTACTTCTGCTTCTGTATTCCCTGCCCTCCCTTCCTGTTATCCCCCCCACACACAACAGCACAACTGGAAGACTAATACAAGAATTGTTACAAGCACTGTGGCAGTGAGTCCTTTGGAAACCAGTTTGATGTAAACAACTCTGATTCAAAAGAGAGAGAGAAAAAAAAGCCACACACAGCAATTAACGCAAGCAACATATGCATAGTGTGATTTCTTACTTAGTCTGTGATAAAAGCACAAACATTTTCCAGGAAAAAAAATCAGGAACTCCTGTCCATTCCTCCTAACATATTCTTCTAGTCATACCACCATTGCTTCAACTCCCCAACTGTAGAGAGCAAATACATTATCAAAGTTTTAGCTTAACAAAATAACAGAGTTGGAAGGGATCTTGAAGGTCTTCTAGACCAGCCCCCTTGTCAGGCAGGAAACCTTATCACCATTTCAGGGAAATGGTTGTCCAATCTCTTCGGGAAAAACCTCCAGTGATGGAGAATCCACAATTTCTGAAAGCAAGTTGTCCCCCTGACATGAAATTTCTCCTTACTTCTAAGATTCTCTCCACGATTAGTTTCCATCCATTGCTTGGTTCTATGACTTAGTTCCAAGGCTGGAGGACAAAAAGAGGCTGACCTTCTCAAATGGGGGAATCAGGGGTACATGTACCTGACATTTCCCTAAGCACTATTCACTGGTTTGAGTCACTGATTTCATTTGATCTTAGCAGCTTATAGCACCCATTAATATCAACTAATAAAATGTTTACTATATAAAAGCTAAACTCAATAATATTAATAGATGAAATCTAGCAGGCACAATGATATAACCAATGAATCTAGCTCTTATACCATGTATGTGTACTGTTCTCATACAATGTACCCCAATGAAGAACGCTTGCCAGGTCTCACAAGCTATCCAGATCAAAGCTGGTCTGGCAAGGGAAAACTACCGATATCTAATCAAAATTTGGATCATGTGAAGACATATATATATACACCACTCCCAGCAAAAAGCAATCGTTTGCTCTAAAAAGCAGGCCAACTTTTTCTGGAGAACGGGCAGGCAAGGGTTGTTGGTATCCTAGACCAGAATCTTAATGGAGATGTTAAGACCTACCTTTTGGATCGGGAAAAAATGGCATCCTGTATCTTCATGATGATTGTATACTAGCTTGCATAGCTCTATTGGATTCCACCCCCCCTTTCCTTTGAACTTCAAAAGCTGCCCTGGTTGAAAATAGTAGCTACACTGGTGTTCCAAGTGGGTTGTTCTTTAACTTCACCGGCAAAAAATCCTCCCGCATTTAACAAACGATACAAGTCTTTTCTAATCCAGCCAGCAGAAGCACTGGAGAGGAGACGGTTTTCCACACAAATACACTTCTGCATGTAAGGTGTGCCCTATCATTAAACTACACTTAAAGCCTATTGCCCACTTCTCAAATAAGGCATGGAATTGCAAATTAACTCCTAAGAATTTCAAGGCACTTAATTTTGAGTTAGATCCTAAAAATTAACTCAGCACATAGGGGGTTTCATGGCAGGGAGGGGGGAATGATCACCTTCAGTGCTTACAGCCACCCTTAGGCTCTCTCACTACAGCCAGTGGACCAGTCATTGAAAATTTAATCTGTCAACTTCTTCTATTTTATCAGACCAACGAGACATCCTTTCAGTCTCTCAGAAGGGTTGGGGTGGGCGATTTGGATCCATGTTCTTTAGGAAATTCTTGGAAACTCTTGAGTTCCATTTTTGCAGAGTGAACAAGAAATAAGCTGAATACTCCTCAGTCCAGACAACAAACATTGGTACCGTTTACTGCTGCTGTATTTCCCATTTTTTAAAAAATGGGAAATACAGGCTACATCTGCCACCTACTGGCCATGTCCTAGAACTGCAACACCTACCTTGCATTAGGGAAATCCCTAACTCAGAGATGTCCAACCTTGGAGATGTGGACTTAGGGACTTGAGAATTTCACAAGACTTGTAGTTTCAACTCCCAGAATTCCCAGCCATCCATGCATAATTTTGGGAGTTGAAGTCCACAAGTCTTAAGGTTGCCACAGCTCAACACCCGTGTTCTAGCTGAAAGCCTGCTGAACGACCTTCATCATCGGCTTCAGAGATAATATACAAAGCTTGAGTACTATGAAAATACTTGGCAACTGATCACCCCTCACAAGCAGTTAATGACTTGTTCAGAGACCCAACTGCTTGGAAGATATATTTTTTTTCCAAATTTTATTTTGTTGAGTTTACTGTGTGAAGCAAGAATTTCCTCAACCATCTGTTCATTAATATATAACAAGAACAGTGATAGACAATTACACTGGCTGCAAATTAACACATTGGTTTCGGAGAGCAGCCTTCAGAAGGCCTGTTTGTTTCACTAAACTTGGAATTCACCAAGAAGCAGGAGAAATGCCATGTGCTGTGTTCACCAACCTGGTTGAAAGACCTTTCTCAGAAGGAAGAGTGAGACCACTGTAGCAGGATAATTTTTTAAAAAAGCTAAACTGGTATTGCAAAGGCATATGCATCTTCAGAAAATTTATGACCCATAGCTCAATTGATCCATTCTTCATTCCATAAGTAACATTTACAAGGCCAAATTGCTTGGGGATGAGACAGCATTAAAGACCATCTGCCCAAACCTGTTGTTTGAACAAGTACCGTATTTTTCAGAGTATAAGGCGCACCTTAGTTTTTGGGGAGAAAAATAAGAAAAAAGCTGATTGGCAAGTGGATCGGCCTTCTGGAATACCCCCAATCAGCTGTTCCCAGAGGTGAATTTTAGCAAAAGGTTCCTTGGTTGTGAGCTCTGTGCCTTGCTTTTTTTTCCTTTTTTTTCCCTGCCTCTGAAACTTCTGAAACTCTGTTTCAGAAAAAACTTTCTTTTCTGCCTCTGAAACAGAGCTTCAGAAAAAAAGCCTCTGAAGCTCTGTTTGGGAGCTTCTTTTCTGAAGCTTCATTTCTGATGCTTTTTTCAGCCTCTGAAACTTTTGTTTGAGAAGCCAGGCAGGGCTACATTCGGAGTATATGACGCACCCAGATTTTCACCCTCTTTTTTGGGGGAAAAAGGTGTGTCTTATACTCTGAAAAATACGGTAGTTTATAAGGTAGCAGCCAACCACCCCCAACCCTCCATGGAACCATCCTTTCAGCCCAGAAGCACAGGTGAGTTGCAAAATCTTCCTTCCCAACAAGTGGACAAAAATGGCTTTAGGCCTTTGAATGGCCTTTAATAAATTCTTATGCTTCCTTGCAGTAGTGGGTTTCAATTTAGTTTGCAACTGGTTTGCTCATGCATGCGCAAAGCGTCAGGGCGGGTGGGCGGAGCCTCCTGCCACCGCCAGCACTACCGGTTTGCCCAATCCGGGGCGAGCCGGTAGCAACCCATTACTGCTTCCTTGGCTATCCATTTCAACAGAAACTGGAAAGAGGCAATCCTAGGGAATCATAGTTCTTTGATTATTCTGGATTATTCTGATCCAGTAGATAGAAAACAACTTTTCATATGGTTCTGTGCATAGAGCTGATGCATTTAAATCTGGTCTCAGAGTATCAAGAAGGGCATGCTTTAAAGTAGGAACAGTTGTACAAACCACACTAACGAGGGTTGCCTTTTTCAACCAATCATTTGCCCCTTTTATATTTTACTTTTCCTCCTATGTGTAGAGAACTGATTCATCCTGCCCTAGAATTAGCCCTTCCTATTCAGTCAACTATACTGTACATACCTTGTTTCAAGAAAGTGAAGGGCACTCAAGGAAGCCACCTTTGCTCGATGGAGCCATGCAGGAATAGAGAAGCCAAGTCACCCACCACTGCTTCACTTTCCCAAACTGGAGAACAGGTAGAGTGTTCACGAGACGAATGTGCGTCCAAAAAAGCTGTGACAGTGCCCCCAAATAGGTGATTGAATTTCATTTGTCCTTCAATTGCGTAGTTGGGATTGCCATCTTTGACTTCATTGAAATGCACACAACCATGGACATCACCAGAAGCAGGGAGCTCCAGAAAACAGGGGTTTAGTGCACCCTGTAATTAACACAGCTGCCTGCAATTTCTGCTGGTTCGAATCTCTCCAAGGCTCAAGGTTGACTCAGCCTTCCATCCTTTCTAAGGTAGGTGAAATGAGGACCCAGTTTGTGGGGGCAATAAGCTGACTTTGTATAAAACATACAAAAGAATGAAGGCTATTGCTTAACGCATTGTAAGCCGCCCTGAGTCTCCGGAGAAGGGCGGCATATAAATCAAATTAAAAAAAAAAAAAAAACCACTCCTCTCCCCAACACACAGTAGTCCCGAGAAGACTACTCCTTAAGAGTTCATAGCAACTGAGATGAAGCTAAGAAGATGCCTCCTAAAAGCAGTGGAGCTCCTCTTCAACATGAGCAACTGGAAGAAGGGAAGCAGAGCAAGAATAAGAAGTAGTTTCTGCCCAGGTGCTCAATCTCAACCATTTAAGAATAAGCCAGGTGAGAAACCCAACTACACCAGAGATCCTAACGCTCTACTTTATCAATTTAGGCTACAGCAGAATCTTAAAAGTCCAACAGAGTTTCTCTCCTCCACCATCCACAAAAATATTAAAGAGGGTCAAGGCAAGGAAGTCCTGAGTTTCTTTCTCACCCTTTCCTGATTACCAGGATTAAGCTTGGATTTACTAAGAGTTGCTACATATTTTGTTCTATATCAGAGGTTTCTCAAAAGTCCTTGGAAGGGACAATAAGTAGAAGTGAGATCTTGCAGTGCAATTTCTCTCCACACACACAAACACACAAACACACACTTGGGTGGGGGCTGCCAAAATAGCCACAATGTTTATTTTCACACTGTATACTAAATCACATACACAAGATCCAAAACATGGCAAGAAAGTATATTATTTTGAAATAAGGCCTCATAAACCTGGGGATTTTCTAGCTGTATAAAATGTGGTATGTCATAAAAATGTTTAAAGTTTGTGTGTTTCTGTGTGCTCCACTTTATTTACTGAGATCCAACACTTGTTTTCTGGTAGCGTCTCAGACACAGTTACTCCGGTTTTCCACCCAGTTAGCTGTCTACTACTCCATTTCCACAGGATTTGCTAAAATCCAATGCAGGTTTTTTCATCTGTGATATTCAAAGAATATTCAAGAAAAAGAGCACATACATTTGTCCTAACAGTGGGGAAAATGGAAATAATTGTATGTCTCTTTTAGTCAATTTTCCACTGTGGTTCTCTTTGAGCGAGAAACATGTGGTAGCCAGTTTTGTCTCAGGCACAGAAAAAAAGGCACATTAAGCTGGCGTATCTTCCGGAAAATATCTCACAAGAATTCTGCCACAAAATGTGAAGCCGTGAAAGATAAACACCTTATGGGATGAGAATATTCCTTCTCTAGCAATGGATATAATGGTTCCATTATAACTCATAAATACAAAAAGTTGTATTTTGTGTTCTATCCAGAGAAGTGAGAGAGCTAAACAGATCTTGGAGCATGACTGTCCAACTGTGTCAACTCAGTTGTCAACCTGTGGACTTCAACTCCCAGAATTCCTCAGCCAGCCATGCTCCCAGAATTCCTCGATCAGAATGCTGGCTGGGGAATTCTGGGAGTTGAAGTCCACAGGGCTTAAAGTTGACATGGTTGAAAAACACTGCCGAGGGGTTTTATTTTTGTTGGCTGTGTAGTGGGTATCCAGGCTCTACTGACCAGGAATACTAACCATAGGTATCAACGATGCAAAGTGCTTCCAGCAGAACCAAAGTTACTCAGCCACAAGGCCCTTGAGAAACAGCTGTTTAAGCTTCGTCCCAAGATCTTTTAAAAATGCATTTTATGGTATTTATCCTTTAGTAGAAACCAGCAGTCTTTAATTAGGGGTGCCGGCTCATCACTAGTTGTTTTTTTTAAACAGTGAAGCAATATCATAAAAGTAATTGAAATAATCACCTCCTCTGCTGAGTTTCAATTAAAAAAAAACCTATTTGCGGATTAATTGAACCCACCCTCCATTTACAAGCAAAAGAACAAAAATGGAGAAAGGGGAAAAAATCATGCTTTATAGCACCAAAAACCTCTTTTAAAAAGAGCACCAGTACCCTTGATTTAAATCTCCACGGCTCAGCTCCTGATATGCCATCAGCAATAATCACCTTCGCCTTCATCTGTTTTTTTCTGTGTGAGTTTAAACCAGTGGTGGGATTCAGCCAGTTCGGGAGAAATTAGTTAAATTTCTGGCTGGCCCTGCTCCTTCCTGCCCCGCCCCTTGCAGGAGTCCCCACTTGCCCCATTTTGGCTCCCAGGTAAGTGCAGAGAGGCCACCTAGATCCAAAACAGGGCATGGGGGAGTAGAACATCTCCCCTGTGGCGTGTTTTTGCTCCCAGGGGGGTGCAGGAGGCCAAGTGCTGCCTGCCACACTCTCTGGCCATGCTCACCAAGCCACGCCCACAGAACCTTTTCTCAACATTGGCATTTATTTATTGGTTCGATTTATATGCTGCCCTTCTCCGGAGGCCAGGGCAGCTTACAATGTGTTAAGCAATAGCCTTCACACTTTTGTATATACCTGCTTAGTAGGGCTTTTGGTCCCCCCTAAGCGGTGTTCTTTTTCATACAAAGTCAGCTTATTTCCCCCACAATCCGGGTTCTCATTTTACCTACCTCGGAAGGATGGAAGGCTGAGTCAACCTTGAGCCTGGTGAGATTTGAACTCGCAGTAATTGCAAGCAGCTGGCAGCTAAGTGCTACTTTAACAGCACTTTAGTCCGCTGTGCCACCAAGGCCCCTTCCAAGGCATCTTTAAGATGGGTGGATTTCAAATCCTAGAATTGCCCAGCAACAAAGCTAGCTGGGGAATTCTGGGAGTTGAAGTCCACTTAGAGCTGGCAGGGGAAATCTGGGAATTGAAGTCCACCCATCTTAAATTTATGGAGGCTGAGAAACACTGGCTTTGCCTTTCTAAAAATGGATCCCATCCAAAAAGAGCAGCTTTGGAAGACACAAGAGAACAGACTGGCTATACGCCACGATGCTTTTCCCAAAAAGACTGAAAAGATATGAAGGAAGACACCGAACAACAACATCACAAGGACAGAATGTTTAAAAATGTGAATTGGCTTCAAGCAGCAAACAGTTATAACTTTTTAGGCTGCAGTTATATGTAAAGTTGTCAAGTGAATATTCTAACAGATTCTCTGCATATTCAACTTGTCTTGGCCAGTTGCTTACATGGCTCTCCCAAACTAGAGGCCAGGAAGTTTTTCAGCTGATCTCTTCGAAAGCTTCAAATGGATCCAATGAAGAATTTCCCTGTTTTAGTATCATAATGAGCAGATGTTGCTCCAGATGTTCTCCTTGCTTCTCTACAACTTTAACAAAGAAAAAAAAATGGCTTCTTCCCTTGTTGGGATCTGAATTATACTGAAAGTAAAATTTTCAGCCCCTCTAACCCAGGGGTCTCCAACCTTGGCAACTTTAAGACTTGTGGACTTCAGCTCCCAGAGCTCCTCAGCTGAGGAGCTCTGGGAGCTGAAGTCCACAAGTCTTAAAGTTGCCAAGGTTGGAGACCCCTGCTCTAACCGATGATCCAACTTCTCCATTAAACAGAGTGACACTGTCACAACTGAGCTGAGCCACAAGGAAAATTTCATAGGGCGATAAATATCTTATTTTGCATATATAAATAAATTAGAGAATTATTGTCAGCCCTTCAAGATAGACCAGGCTGGGAAACCATCTGCTAATACTACTTTTATTATAAGGTTATAGTAACAGAATCTTTCAAATCCAAATGTGCTTATCTTGTCAGATCTAGGGAGGGTCTTATCTGAGGCTTTTTCAGGTTAGGCTCCGATTCAAATTCAGTTTATCTGATTATCGTCTTCCTCCTGTTCATCCAGGCTATTCCTGTTGTCCATTACAACTGTATGCACACTACTTTTTTCTTCTGAAGGAAAGACACAATAACAGTATTAACAGAGTTGGAATGGACATTGGAAGTCTTCTAGTCCAACCACTGCTCAAGCAGGAGACACTATACAGTAATAGCCAAAATTGTGGAAACCTTTTGGGAAAAGTGTATTTTTGAAGTTTGATGGCTAATAACACTTTTTTTTTTTTTTTTTTTGAGTTTCAAGATAATCCTATTCCGCTGCTGGAATGGCCTGGGAATAGCCCAGACCTTAACCCAATTGAAAATCTATGGAGCCGACTAAAGAAACCTGTCAGTCAGAAGTGATCCAGCAATAAAACCCAGCAATCATTCAATCTTGGCTTCACATTAGAACAGCTGCAGAACTAAAAGTCTTGGTTCACTCCATGGGAAGACGTTGTAAGGCCGTAATTCATGCTAAAGTCTTGCTCTCATTATTTCTCGGTTGGACTAGTTTAGTTTAGTTTATTTGATTTGTATACCGCCCTACTTCCAAAGGACTCAGGGCGGTGAACAGCCAAACAATAAAATACATAGATACAAAAAATTTAAAAACCAGATAAAATCAAATTAAATCATTTTGGCCCAGACAGATTAAAACACCCCAATAATTTAAAAACAGATTAAAATTTACATATTAAAAAGAGGGAAGAGATTAGGCCAAGCCCGCCTGGTGGAATAAAAAGGTCTTCATAGCACAGCGGAAGGTGCACAGATCCGGGATCCTCCGTATCTCCGGGGGGAGCTCATTCCAGATGGTAGGTGCCCCCACAGAGAAGGCTCTCCCCCTGGGGGCTGCCAGTCGACACTGTTTGGCTGACGGCACCCAGAGGAGTCCCTCTCTATGAGAGCGTACTGGCCGGTGGGAGGCTATTGGTGGTAGTAGGCGGTCCCGTAGATAACCAGGTCCTAAGCCATGCAATGCCCTCTACATGGGGCTGCCCTTGGGGTGCACCCGGAGGCTCCAGCTGGTCCAGAATGCGGCCGCACAGGTTGTTACGGGAGCTTCCCGTTACTCCTGTGTAACACCTCTCCTGCGCAAGCTGCACTGGCTGCCGGTTGCCCTTCGGATCCGCTTCAAGATGCTGGTTCTTACCTATAAAGCCCTATATGGCATGGGCCCAGGGTACTTGCAGGACCACCTCCTACCGGCCTCCTGTGCGGTCACATAGGGCTGCCCTCCTCCGGGTGCCATCGGCCGGACAATGTCAGCTGGTGGCCCCCAGGATGAGGGCGTTCTCAGTGGCCGCACCGACCCTCTGGAATGGGTTACCCATCAGGCTCCGGATGGCCCCCGACCTCCGGACGGCCTCCGCACTTTCCGCACCAACCTGAAGACATGGCTGTTTCAGCCATTTCCCTGATCTGCTACGAGATTTTATTCTGTTTGGGTTTTTATATTGGCTGTTTTTAGGATTTCTTATTGTTACATGTTTTTATTCTGTGCGCCACCTTGTGTCCTACGGGAGAAGGGCGGCATATAAATTTAATAAAATAAATAAATAAATAAAGATTACCCAACTAAGTATTAACTGACATGGTAATCGTTTTTTTATATCTCGTTTTTTCTACGTTTCACTTTTCTTCTTTAAACTGTAACTGTTTTTCTAATAGCAAATCCTTCATAAAAGTTATTGTATTACATTCTTGATGAAATTATCTTTCCATTGATATATAATTTTACGGTACTGCTCCAAAAAAAAAAAAAAAGTGCTGTTATTAGCTAATTTTAGAAAATACACTTTCCCCAAAAGGTTTCCACAATTTTGGCCACTACTGTACCATTCCGGGGAAAATGGCTGTCCAATCTCTTCTTTAAATCTTCCAATGATGGAGCACCCACAACTTCAGGAGACAAGCCATTGCAATGATTGATTGTTCTATCAGGAAATTTCTCCTGGAGAAATTTATCTCTAAGTTGGATCTCTTTGATAAGCTTCCATCCATTACCTCTTGTCCGGTCTTCAGGTGCTTTGGAGACTAGGTTAACCCCGTCTTCTCTGTGGTAACCCCTCAAATATTGAAAGACTGCTATCATGTCACCCCTAGTCCTATATAATATAAATGTAACAAATGAACACACTTCATAAAGGGCTGTTTTAAATTAAATTTATTAAATTACTTAACACTGCTGTATCACTTGGCCAGGAAAGACACTTCCAACACTCCCTTGCGGGATTCAACCCCTCCCCTTCCCCAGAATCGCCATTTAATAAGCAACCCTTCCTTCCTCCCGATTTTCAAGGAGGCATCTGGAAATCGATCTCAGCTGTCAAGTCCACGGGCAGTCCTTCGGAGCAATCCATCTTCTTAACAATGGATCGGATGGCCTCAGCCGCTGGAGTTTGCATCGCCAGCAGGCCCCCTCAAAAGCCGGGCACTTGCGAAGATGGCTAAGGCACATTTGGCTGCACAAGTACACGGAGGTGGTATACGGCGAGTTGGTCTCGTGGTCTTGTACGTTTACATGGTCGGTTCCCTCTCGAGGGAGAAACAGAAGATTGCCAGGTTTCCAATATTCAATCGGACAAGTGCACTTAATATATCAGCTGTAAATAATACACTTTGACCCCACGTTGGAGATTTAAAGGGAAAGAAGAGAATACACCCAAATCCTAAGCAGACTGGCACATCTGAAATGCCTGGACCCCCTTGCCCTCCCCTGCCTCTATGAAAAGGCAAACTTACTTCAAAACGACCCTTTTAGGCCCCTGAGATTAGCCTTTGTCCTGAATGACAACTTTGTCCCCCTTCCTAACCATGGGACAGACAGGCAAAAGTGCTGTGCAGCTTCGGGTTTGTGCCCATTTCCTTTTCCATACGGAAATACGGATCTTTTCTTCTCCTCTTACCTTTCTTGCCCTTCCTTTCCTGCCTAACTTTGGCCAGGATAGCTCTTTTTTTTTTTTTTTTTTTTTGCCTTATCGGTCGATTCTGCTTGTCATCCCCACTTGATGGGAAGGAAATATATCTACTCCATACATTTAAGATCGGAGATGCGCTACTCGGGCACACGCGCGTCCTTCACAGAAGGATTTCTTTTTCCACACTTTGCCCAGAAAAAAATAAAAAATAAACATCCATTCAACTCTACTATTTTAGGTATAAAAACTATCAGCAAATACTGTTGGGTATTCTCCTTTTCATCATAGTCTCTAAAACCAACCAATCAGATGGGAGTGGAATAAACTTCATTATCTCCTCTACCATCCTTAATCGTGTTCTCCTGGGCATCCTTAAAACAGGTGAATTGCCCAGGGACTTGAACCAACATACTTTGTCTCGTCTTCATCTAAACGGGGAAAATAGGGTGGCAGACAGCTAATAATCCTTCATTCAGTTGCCTCTTGCCCATTAGGTAACATCCAATACGATAAATAAAATAACAAATAGCCACCCATCTACTGGTTTGCAGGAGACGGGGAGAAATGATTAATGAAACCACTTTATGGGACGATTACTTTATCACCGTGGGAAACTGTGTTGGTATCTTCTTTGAGGCCAAACAACAGCAATCTTGCTTTGAACTTCCAAAGGTGCCTCTGGTGAACGCAGGAACCTCTCGGTTGGATGCCAAAGGAAATTCTGCAACCGCCCAAGCGAAGAAGATTCTGTAGAGGGCTGTGCCCCCATAAGGAAGAAAGACTCCTGCTTCCAACTGGTGGTGTCACACCCAGGTTCTCTACAGGACTGCTTCTACCCTTAGCTGCCAACATATTTAGAAGCGGTACACTTCCATCCAGCCTGATCTCCATTTGCAGGGAACTGCGAAGGCCTCTGCACCAGTCAGCGTTGGAATGGAAGGGCCGGTTATATGTTAGAAAGGGCCAGCCATAAAGGGCTTTGTCTTGCTGGCAAGAAGCCCAGCTCGACGTGAACATAAAGGCTGTCCCATCTTACATCAGAAGTAAGTGAGGTTCTTGACGAGTCCCAATTCAAGCATCTGTTTTATTGCTAATGCCTCGTGGGAGACATTGTGCCCTGAAGACTGTGGAGCAAGATAAGAGAAAACCTATTAGTAGAAGCAGCAGGCTGGGATGTTTCCCCCACTCCCCATGTGTCATGCTAACATATAAACCAGCACATCATCAATTAACTCTTTGAAATCCTATGGTTAACAAATTTCAAAAAAGGCAGCCCACTGGATTGGTTTTTTTTTTTAAAAAAATGGATTTACAATATTGGTACATTCTAAAGCTGCTACCTATAGTTTCTCTAATAGGGATATGGTGGCTCAGCAGCTAAGACGCTGAGCTTGTCAATCGAAAGGTCGGCAGTTCAGCGGTTCAAATCCCTAGTGCTGCCGCAAAATGGGGTGAGCTCCCATTACTTGTCCCAGCTTCTGCCAATCTAGCAGTTCGAAAGCCCGTAAAAAAAAATGCAAGTAGAAAAATAGGGGCCAACTTTGGTGGGAAGGGAACAGCGTTCCGTGCGCCTTTGGCATTGAGTCATGCCAGCAACATGACCATGGAGACGTCTTCGGACAGCACTGGCTCTTCAACTTTGAAATGGAGATGAGCACCACTCCCTAGAGTTGGGAACGACTAGCACATATGTGCGAGGGGAACCTTTACCTTTATAGTTTCTCTGTTCAGTTAAACTGGGATTGACACTGAGATGTTGGTCATCTCAGGCAAAGGAGGTATGTATGCGGACTAATTGGCCCCCTGACCTATTAAACAGAGATATGAGACCTGAACTGTTTCGGTATGAATAGTTCCCTATCTTCATTCGATTTCATTACTCACAGCCATAGATTTCACCGTAATATGCTCGTAGTAGTGAATACTCTGCTTCTTGTCGTCTGAGCTGGGGTATCCAAAGCCGGCAATATCTACCACATCGCAAAAGTGCAAGGCAAGGGTGATAGCCACTAATCCTGTCGTTGGTTTCTAGAGTAAAAGACGTGTGATAATTGAGACTTCCAGACATGGCAGTCTGGCTTCACTTAAGACTTTAGAACAAATGATCTACAGGTAGTCCTCGACTTACAACAGTTCATTTAGTTCAAAGTTACAATGGCACTGAAATAAGTGACTTACGTCTGTTTTTCACATTTATGACCAACTGTTGCAGCATTCCCATGGGCAAATGATCAAAATTCAGACGCTTGGCAACTGACTCATATTTATGATGGTTGCAGTGTCGCCCGGGGTCACGGGATCCTCTTTTACGACCTTCTGACAAGCAAAGCCCAATTCACTTAACAACCATGTTACTAACTTAACCACTGCAGTGATTCACTTTAGAACTGTACAACAAGAAATGTTATAGAATGGGGCAAAGCTCATTTAACAAATGTCCCACTTAGCAACAGAAATTTTAGACTCAATTATGGCTGTAAGTTGAGGAGTACCTGTATTAGCTCCACATGGTTCTATCAACAGATAGCAATAGCAATAGCACTTAGTCTTATATACCGCTTCACAGTGCTTTTATAGCCCTCTGTAAGCGGTTTACAGAGTCAACCTATTGCCCCCAACAATCTGGGTCCTCATTTTACCCACCTTGGAAGGATGGAAGGCTGACTCAACCTTGAGCCTGGTGGGATTCGATCTGCCAAATTGCAGGCAGCCGGCAGTCAGCAGAAGTAGCCTGCAGTACTGCACTCTAACCACTGCGCCACCATGGCTCATATAAGGCTCAGGTGGAAGCTTAGGTCAACAAGATTCATAAAAGAAAACTTCCACCTTGATCCAAAATTTACATTTTGTCTACAAAGATATGAATAATGCTACTGGAATGGAGTAGTTGTGGTAGTAACCCCAGTCAAGTTGTCCAGTGAAGGGCAAAATTGAATATTTTTATTAGACACATGCATAAAGCAGCCTTCAATTCATTAATTGTCCTTTTTCAAAGGGCAATGGTCAATATTTATAACAATATCCGGCTTTTTATTTTCAGATCAATCTTAGGAAGTAGCGTGAGAGACGGTGACTAATACAAGTTTGTCCAGTAAATATTGTGGCTAAACAGAGACGTTAATCTCCCTGAATCTCTTTGGATAAAGAAAATCTGATCCTAGCAACCTAACCCAAATTAATTATTTGCTTAAGTTTAATATCATTTTGCTTCTGTTATTTAGAGGAGAAATGACTAAGCATGGCATGAAAAGTCTACATTTTGGCCTTGAAATGTTTTCCTTAAGGCTTACTTTATTCTCAAAGAGATATTTCTCATTTTTAACCAGGAGTTCAAGAAGTAACTTCTATAGAAACATTACAGATGATCCATTTGTTTAAAAAAATGAAATGAATAGATGGATTATCAAGATCTCTTTTCACAGCCTAGTTACAAAATCTTGAAGACAATGTACAGTAGTTATGTAACATCTGGCAGAAGAGTTCCTCGTAAACGTTTAAGCTTCAGTCATGGAAATTATCTGACAGGGGGTCACGTTCATGAAAAAATAAAAAATGACAAAGTGAGAGGAGGGAGCAATCGTAAGATTTTCAAGCAAGTGATAAAAGGGGAGTAACCACAGCTTGGCAAACCTATCCGGAATAAAAGCCTTTGCAATCTAGAAGAAAAGAAAGAAAAAAACCAAAAACATTGTGCCCAAAAAGCCAAGGTTTTCTTTTCAAATAAGGATGAATCAAATCTGAAATTCTTTTTTTAGGGAACGTGTGATGGTTATAAACTCCATGACCGACCTGGTTTCACAATCTTTTTTACAGCATCTGTTAAGCGAACGCTGCAGTCATTAAACAAAACACTTGTACGTTATTGGGCCGGTTTTGATGAAAACTGGAAGCAAATGCTGGTTTTTGGCAAAAACTTCATAAAATGCAGTCATTTGCTTCGAGAAACAGATGGGGACTTCCACAAATGAAAGCTTCTCTACAAAACAGCTCTTCATATCGAAGTACCAGCGATGAAGAACCCAAAGATGCTTTTTCAAAAGGTGATGGGACTTTGTTCTTTGTTCTTTCCTTGAAGATGTTTCGCTCCTCATCCAAGAAGCTTCTTCAGTTCTTGGATGAGAAGCTAAACGTCTTCAAGGAAAAATAAAGTCCCATCGCCTTTTGAAAAACGGAGTTTCTCAGTCATCCAAGACATGAAAAGTGCTTTTTTCAAAAGGCAGAGGGAACTTGTTTTTCTTTGAAGATGTTTCCCTTCTCATCTAAGAAGCTTCCTCAGATCATTATTCAAATGACTGAGAACCTCCATAAACTTGGATGACTGAGAATCTCCACAGACATTAAACCAAAAGACTTCTTCGGCCAGCCAACTGTGTACACAGGTATCTGGTGGACTTTTTCTCCTTCTCAAAGCCTAGAAGCTTCTGTGGAGATGTAAAGTCTAGATATATGATGCACAGAGATAACCAAGGAGAATGAGCAGTTTATGGAAGAGAGCTTAATCCAAGCTAGCCACATACGTGTGGAAGGATTGCACATATACAGGGTGCTATTGCTATCTTGGCATCTTGGTATCAATATCAGGGTGCTATTGCTATCTTGGGCTCCAAGATCACTGCAGATGGGGACTGCAGCCAAGAAATTAAAATATGCTTGCTCCTGGGGAGGAAAGCTATGGCAAATCTAGACAGCAAACTAAAAAGCAGAGACATCACCTTGCCAACAAAAGTCAAGGCTATGGTTTTCCCAGCTGCAATGGATGGCTGTGAAAGTTGGACCATAAGGAAGGCTGAGCGCCAAAGAATTGAGGCCTTTGAACTCTGGTGCTGGAGAAGACTCCTGCAAGTCCCTTGGACTGCAAGGCGATCAAACTGGTCAGTCCTAGATGAGATCAACCCTGATTGCTCCTTAGAAGGCCAGATCCTGAAGATGAAACTCTAATGAGAAGGAAGGAAGGACTCACTGGAGAAGAGCCTAATGCTGGGAAAGATTGAGGGCAAAAGAAGAAAGGGACGACAGAGAATGAGGTGGCTGGATGGAATCACTGAAGCAGTCGGCGTCAGCTTAAATAGACTCCAGAGGATGGTAGAGGACAGGAAGGCCTGGAGGAACACTGTCCATGGGGTCACGATGGGTCGGACACGACTTTGCAACTAACAACAACAAATTGTTATCCTGAACCAATCTGCTACTCCTTTTTACTACCAGTGTAAAGTTGTGAAGACCCTTGAAATTCAATCAAAAGTCATCCACGTCAGGAAGATATGTGAACCCAAGCTATCCAGATGATTAAAAAAATGCAATACAGGTCGTCCTTGCCTTACGCCTGGCTTCTTAATTGTTAATTGTTCAAAGTTACAACAGTCCGCCCCAGAGCTATTTACGACCTATTTTTAAAGTTATGTCAGTTGCACACACCCACACTGTGGTTGTGTGATTGGCAACTGGCTCATCTTTACAGCCATTTACAGTGTGCTAATCAAAATTTGCAATTAGTTCTTGTTACGATTACGGTGTTTAATTTTGGTTTCTGGCAAAAAAAAAAAAAAAACAACCCACACCCATCAGGGAAAATGGGTTCACTTAACCATAAAATTTGCTTTATGACTGCCACGTTTCCTTTAGCAGCAACAACAAAAATCCCTTGCTTTAACAACGGCCCCATAAAGAGATTTAAAAAATCTGGTTCCCGTTACATGATCACTCAATTTAGAACTGCCATGACTTATGACTATAAATCAGGGCTCAATTATGGTCATAAATCAAGGATTATCTGTAATTCCACAACTTTGATTTGAAGTGTCTATGGGAAAAAAAACAAAGTCTAGTTCCCCTTTGGGGGAAAAAAAGCACTTTTGGGATCCCAATTTTAAGAATATCCAAAAGCGAGAAAAAGACTTCAAACCATCCCTTCGTTGCATACACAGGCCTCTAATTCTCTCTCTCTCTCTCTCTCTCTCTCTCTCTCTCTCTCTCTCTCCCTCCCTCTCCCTCCCTCCCTCTCTCTCCCTCCTTCCCTCTCTCTGCCTCCCTCTTCCTCCTTCCCTCTCCCTCCCTCCTTCTCCCTCCCCCTCCCTCTCCCTCTCTCTCTCCCTCCCTCCCCCTCCCTCTCTCCCTCCCTCTCTCCCTCCCTCCCCCTCCCTCTCTCTCCTTCCCCCTCCCTCTCTCTCCCTCCCTCTCTCCCTCCCTCTTTCTCCCTCCCTCTCTCTCTCCCTCCCCCTTTTCTCTCTCCTACCCACACACGTACATATGCTTATCTCTCTTACCTCTCTAAGCTTCCACAAGTGTTTCATTGGAAGCTTAAGCACTTTAGCAGCTGCAACCTCCATAAAATACGGGTTCAGAATTCGTACTTGCTTGGGATTTGCATTCCAAATTAAGGGAGGCTGTTTCCAGAAACCCTTCCGAATCTGGAGACAAAGCAGACACAGAGAAATTAGTCACACACACTTTATTTTCAAATGCAACATCAAAGCATAAAGAGTCTAACCTGGTTAAATAGAGAGAAAAAAGAAAAGACTGCAGGGAGTCCTCAATTTACAACCCCAATGGAGCCCAAAATTTATGTTGCTAAGTGAGACTCATTTGTTAAGCGAGTTTTGTCCTGTTTTACGACTTTTTTTTGCCGCGTTGGTTAAGGGAATCACTGCAGCTCTTAAGTTAGTAACATGGTTGTTAAGTGAATCTGGCTTCCCCATTGACTTTGCTTGTCAGAAGGCTGCAAAAGGGGATCGCCTGGGCACCACAACTGTCATAAACGTGAGTCAGTTGTCAAGCATCCAAATGCAAATCACGTGACCATGGGTCGCTGCAACCGTCATAAATATGAACCAGTTGCCAAGCAACCTAATGTAAATCATGTGACCGGGGGGATGTTCTACTGACTGGTATTGTGATGTTGTGTTAACCAGGGGTGGGTTCTACTTACCTTTACTACCGGTTTGCAACGGGGCCGCACGCACGTTCGCTCACGTGTGTGCTCTTCTGCGCATGCACAGAAGCGTTCTGATGACATCGGGGTCTGTGGGCGGAGCCTCCCGCCAGTTTTACTACCGGTTCTATAGAACTGGTGCGAACCGGGGGCAATCTACCACTGGTGTTAACCCTCCAAGGTGGACCAAACAGGAAACCCAAAAACACGCAAGCTAAAATTACTTGTATTATAAGTAAGGGGTGAAATGCTCCTGGTTCGGACCGGATCGCCTGATCTGGTAGCAATGGAGGCAGGTGGTTCGGAGAACCGGTAGCAAAAATCCCTGCCTCCCCCCCATTGCCCAGCTGAGCCATACAATCATCACAGGCTTTTTTTTTAATTTTTAAAAGCATTTTTTCTACAACCTCCTTGGCCGAAAAAATGCTTTTAAAAGTTAAAAAAAAAAAGCCTCTGATGTTCGTGCGGCTCAGCTGGGATCATCAGAGGCTTTTAAAAGCATTTTTTCTCCAACCTCTTCAGCTGAAGAGGTTATAGAAAAAAGGTTTTTAAAAGGAAAAAAAGCCTCTGCCGATCAGGCAAGTCAGCTGGGATCGTCAGAGGCTTTAAAAGCATTTTAAAAAGCATTTTAGCATTTCAGCCGAAGAGGTTGTAGAAAAAATGGTTTTAAAAGTTAAAAAAAAAAAGTTGGCCACGCCCACTCAGTCATATTAATCCCACCACCACCAAGCCATGCTCACAGAAACAATAGTGACAAATTTTACATTTCACCAGTTATAAGGTGATATAGCAACAGGATTTGCAACTTTGAATATACCTCTCTCCTACTTCTCTTTACCGGTAGTTCTCGACAAAGTCTGTCCATCACAGTCATAAATTGTGATGGTTATAAAACAGGTCATCCCATGGCCGACCTGGTTTTACCACCTTTCTTACAGCATCTGTTAAGCGAATGTCGCAGTCATTAAGTGAGCCACTGGTTCGCTATGGGCAGAGGCGGGTTTCACATAATTTTACCACTGGTTCACCGCACACCGAAAATTGAGCGCACGTGCGAACCGGCTGAATACTACCTCTGGCTATGGGCCAGTTTTGCTGAAAATTGGAAGAAAATGCTAGTTATTATTTTTTTTGACAAAAACTTCATAAAATGCAGTCATGTGACTGGAAGGCCCTGCAAAAAAGCAGTAAATATGGGCCAGCCTACAAGCGTCTGACATTCAGTCATGTAACCGTGAAGGGAGGGGCAGCTGCCAAAACTTCAGAACCAGGTTGTAAGGAGCTCCAGGGAGCTCTCTTGTAACTTCAAGTGGTCACTAAGCAACCAGTCGTAAATTGAGGACAACCTCTATCTTGATGAAAAGCAGGGTAGGTCTTAACTGAAAGCATTCTCTAATTTCCTTTCTGTCTTGGACTCGGATTTCTTTTATTTGACAATTATCTTTATTTGGCAGCTCTTCTTCCTATTCCTCGAGGTTATTCCTTCTGCCTTCTCCAATCGCACAAGGGCTTGGTGAAGCAATGTTGTTTCTACCATTCTAACAATGGATGGAGACTAATCAAGGAGAGAAGCAACCTGGAATTCAGGAGTCACTTCCTAACAGTGAAGACAATTAACCAGTGGAATAGAAGTTGCCTTCAGAGATTTTGGGTGCTTCATTACTGGAGGTTTTGAAGAAGAGACTGGATAGTCACTTGTCTGAAATGGTATAGGGTCTCCAGCTTGAGCAGGGGGCTGGACTAGAAGACCTCCAAGGTCCCTTCCAGATTCTGATTCTGATCGATGAGCAAGGAAATTAGATAAAGAAAATAGATCTCGTCCACATCTAGCAAATTTGAGCTTGGTTACGCAAGACCAAAATCGGGGGTCCCACATTCAACCCCACAAACAAATCAGTATTTGTAACATATCACTCTGCTTCAGTGGTTGGAAGAAAAGAGCTTCTGAATCAGCGTTTTCTTAGGCAAGTGGATCCTTTCCCACAATTAAACACAACAAAGAAAAGCTAACTGCTTACCCTCTTCTTGTCATGGAGAATTGTCTCCATCCACATAAAATCCATGGGTTTGAATGCCACTAACACCAGCAACGTGTTCGGATTGTTGTCGGTCTGTGGATTGAAGTGTGCTGATTCGGGGTAGAAAAGACGCATGGTGGTTTTGGTGCCCACGTCCCGCTCGTAACCGTGGACTGGCGCATTGTTCAGCCTGGAGAGAGAAAGAGAAAATGAGACACGCGATGACAGGGAAGCCATCATATGGGCATGGATTCATTTATGAGGGCACAGATTGCTGGGGGCAAGAGCTGACTCTGTAAACCGCTTAGAGAATGATGTAAGGGGGTATATAAGTCTAAGTGCTATTGCTATTCCTTCCTTTCCTTCCTTCCTTCCATCCATCCATCCATCCATTAATGGTGCACAGTGGATAGAATGCAGTATTGCAGGCTAACTCTGCTGACTGCCAGGAGTTCGATCCTGACTAGCTCAAGATTATTCAGCCTTCCATCCTTCTGAGGTGGGTAAAATGAGGGCCCAGATTGTTGGTGGCAAGAGGCTGCCTCTGTAAACCACTTAGAGAGGGCTGTAAAGCACTGTAAGCGGTATATAAGTTTCAGTGCTATTGCATCCATCATCCATCCATCCATTCCATGGTGCACAGTGGTTAGAATGCAGAATGCAGGCTAACTGTGACTGGCTCAAGATTCAGATCCGTAAAATGAGGGCCCAGATTGTTGGTGGCAAGAGGCTGCCTCTGTAAACCACTTAGAGAGGGCTGTAAAGCACTGTCAAGCGGTATATAAGTCTAAGTGCTATTGCTACTAGGAAATATTCCAGCTATAGGAAACTGATGGCAGAACAGTGGCCACTGGTCAGCTGGGCGGGGCACATGGAACATGAGAACAGACCAAGTTTTTTCTTCAAGAACTGGTTCAGTAATATTTTTTTTTTAGAAAAAATACAGTTAGTTCTCGACTTATGACCACAACTGAGCCCCAAGTTTCCATTGCTAAGCGAAACAGTTGTTAAATGAGTTTTGCCCCATTTTACGACCTTTCTTGACACAGTTGTTAAGTGAGTCACTGCAGTTGATAAATTAGTAACCCGGTTGTTAAGTGAATCTGGCTTCCCCATTGACATTCCTTGTCAGAAGGTTGCAAAAGGGGATCCCATGACCTTGGGACCCAGCAATGGTCATAAATGTGAAGCAATTGCCAAGCATCCAAATTTTGATCACGTGACAGGGATGGCTGCAACGGTTGTAAGTGTGAAAAACAGCCAAAAGTCACTTTTTTCAGTGCCGTTGTAACTTTGAACGGTCACTAAATGAACTGTTGTAAATCGAGAACTATCTGTACATGCCAATTGCCAAGGTCTGAATGTGGACCAAGTGACCCTGGGGATGCTGTAAGTCAAGGACTACCTGAATGTTGGCAGAAACAGCATCCCAGTATCAGGTATACCAACGTGGAAACCAAAAATATGCCCTAATATAGTCTGACCTACATTTTTCCCCTGATGACTATTTTTTTTTTTTTGCTTTAATTTATATGCCGCCCTTCTCTGGAGACTCAGGGCGGCTTACAATGCGTTAAGCAATAGCCTTCATACTTTTGTATATTTTATACAAAGTCAGTTTATTGCCCCCACAATCCGGGTCCTCATTTCACCTACCTTTGAAAGGATGGAAGGCTGAGTCAACCTTGAGCCTGGTGAGATTTGAACTTGGAGTAATTGCAAGCAGCAGATGTTAGTGTTAATAACAGTGCTTTAGTCCACTGTACTACAGGCTCGTAGCCCACTCTGATATACATGGAAATCATCTTCTTTTAATGACCCCATAATCCCTTGCAGGGTGGAGTTTGGGCAACTGAATGGAGCTGAGTGTTTACTGGCCGGATGCCCTTCCTGTTGCTAATGCGGAGTTATATTCAGCAGATATATTCTCATGGTGCTCAGAGAGAGAAATATCTGCCTCTACCTAGGATCGAACTCACAGCCTCCTGATTGTGAGGCGAGAGCTCCACATCTAGGTCACCACCGCACCACTCTGATATACATGGAAATGTCCCAGACAAACATCAGTCCCCTCTGCTTCTCAGTACCTGATCACAATATCGTATTTGTTGATGACTTCTCCGATGGAGCTGTTTCTCAACCGGTAGCCGTTCCCAACTACTGCACACCGCCGGCACTTCAATCTGCAAGACAGGCAAAGAGGACTTTTAAGGCACCACACAAAGACATCACGCTGTTACAACTCATAGCCTTCACTGCCCAGGGCTCTTCCATGCAGCGATGCAATCCTCTCAGAGAATATGGCTCTAGATAGATAGTCCTCGGGTTATGACAGCAATTGGGACTGGGATGGCTGTCACTAAGCAGCGCAATCGTAAAAAAATAATGTCACAGGTTCTTTTAGGCAGCCAGAGCTCCAGAGGGCCAAACATATCCTCTTGGCCCAGGGGTGAAATCCAGCAGGTTGTGACAGGTTCTGGAGAACTGGTAGCGGAAATTTTGAGCAGTTCGGAGAACTGGCAAATACTACCTCTGGCTGGCCTCAGAGTGGGGTGGGAATGGAGATTTTGCAATAGCTTTCCCCTAGGAGTGGGGTGTGAATGGGGATTTTGCAGTATCCTTTCCCCAGGAGTGGGGTGGGAATGGGGGATTTTGCAGTATCCTTCCCCCAGGAGTGGGGTGGGAATGGGGATTTTGCAGTATCCTTCCCCCAGGAGTGGAGTGGGAATGGGGATTTTGCAGTATCCTTTCCCCAGGAGTGGGATGGGAATGGGGATTTTGCAGTATCCTTCCCCCAGGAGTGGGGTGGGAATGGGGATTTTGCAGTATCCTTCCCTCAGGAGTGGGGTGGGAATGGGGATTTTGCAGTATTCTTTCCCCAGGAGTGGGGTGGGAATGGGGATTTTGCAGTATCCTTTCCCCAGGAGTGGGGTGGGAATGGGGATTTTGCAGTTCCTTCCCCCAGGAGTGGGGTGGGAATGGGGATTTTGCAGTATCCTTTCCTCATGAGTGGGGTGGGAATGGAGATTTTGCAGTATCCTTCCCCTGCCACACCCACAAGCCATGCCCACCAAGCCATGCCCACAGGACCGGCAGTGAAAAAAAATTGGATTTCACTACTGCCTTGGCCTTTAGGCAACCCACACCCAAGAACACAACGGGTGGTAGTCACAGTTCCTACACTCACACACACACACGATCCCCATAACTGCTATTATTTACTAGGTTACCACAATGTGTGATACCTACAGTTAAAGAACAGTATTTCTGTCTATTAGCCCTAGGCTGCTCTATTTCCACAAAGTAACGGAAGGCATCTCCTCTCTTACTCCTCGAACATCTTCAACACACCTTCAACACACCCCACACCCAAGTATCCCAAAGGTGCTTTTTTTTTCAAGAGGCAACTGGACTTTCTGGTTTTTCTTTGAAGACATTTCGCTTCCCATCCAAGAAGCTTCTTCAGCTCTGACTGGATGGTGGGGAATGGAAGGCCCATCCAAGTCAGAGCTGAAGAAGCTTCTTGGATGAGAAGCGAAACCTCTTCAAAGAAAAACCAGAAAGTCCAATTGCCTCTTGAAAAAAATCACCTTTGGGAATATCGTGACCTGGACGATTGTGAATCTCCATAGACGCCACACCAAGTGTTTTTCTGCTCGGCTTTTTGTTGCTGCTGGTTGCTGGGCAGCTGGGACGGCCAGGGAAAGGTCTTAAATGGGGCAGGGCACTGTCAGCCCAGAACCTAATTAACTTTCAAGCAGCCTATCCTATTTTGTGCACGACCATATTGCTTAGCAATGATGACCCAAGCCGTTGTCCTAATCTGAAGATGTGCAAATGGGGAAGTATTGAGAATTAATGAACTAATTAGTACTTTATTTGGCTAAGTGTGATTAAACACACAAGAAGTTTTGTCCCCAGTGCAGAAACTCTACAGCGTACATGCAAAGCAACAGAATAACAGTAGTCATAATAATAACATGGAGCAAAGGATAATGGAGTGCAATGTGGTATAATATAATAATACAAGGAACACAATAAAGATAAAACTACATAACATAAGATAAGATAAGATAAGATAGGATAGGATAAATAGAAGGGCAAATAATAGTACTACAGCCATACTAAATGGGTTAAAGGCACATAGAGGTTGGACAGCATTGTGCAAATCCCAGGTGAGGAGCAAACAGGTGCCACGGGGAGGGGCAGCGGGAGGAAAGAGAATGGAGCTACAGGTTTCTTACAGGCAAACTCAGAGCCATGAGAAGCTCTTTTAACAAGTGGGTGAAGCCCAGCCATGCAAAAAGCAGAAGTGGCTGAAGAAAAACAGCAGAGAGGGGAAATTAAGCAAGAAGTAGAAGGGAATGGATAGAGGTAGTCCTCGAACTTACAACCATTCATTTAGCGACGGATGTTTCCACGGCACCAAAAGAAGTGACTTAAAACTGGTCATCGCACCTATGAACCCACATGTGATCTGCACGCTCACATGATCAAAAATTCAGGCACTTGGCAACAGAAACGTATTTATAACGGCTGCAGCGTCACGTGATTGCATGATTCCCGGGATCACATGATCGTGATTTGCAACCTTCCAGATTTGCTTCTGACAAGCAAACTCAACGGGGGAAGCCAGATTTGCTTAACGACCATGTGATGCACTTAACAACTGCAGTGGTTCGCTGAACCACTGTGGCGGAAAAGAGTCGTAAAATCCGGCATGGCTCACTTAACAACAATGGTGCTTACTAACAGAATCTCTGCTCCCAGTTGTGGTTGTAAGTTGAGGACTACCTTCTTCTACCAAGCTGTAATTGAGAAGCCCTCTCGGAGGTCTTCTATGAAAATCAAATTTACCGATCCATTAAGGCTATTAGAATAGTTCATGTATTTGGGTCTGGCTAGTCTAGAGAAAAGAACATGATAGCAGTATTCCAGTATTTGAGGGGCTGCCACAAAGAAGAGGGGCTCAAATTATTCTCCAAAGCACCAGATGGCAGGACAAGAAACAATGGTTGGAAACTGATCAAAGAGAGAAGCAACCTGGAATTAAGCAGAAACTTCCTAACAGTGAGGACGATTTACCAGTGGAACTGCTTGCCTCCAGAAATTGCGGGCACATTGCTCCATCACTGGAGGTTCTTAAGAAGAGACTAGACAGTCACTTGTCTGAAATGGTATAAGGCAGTGATGGCGAACCTTTTCAGCACCGAGTGCCCAAACCGGAACGTGCTTATGTGCATTCATGCGTGCACGCACTGGAGCCCCGGAAACTTGAATACCAACTTGGTGTCTGTGCGCATGCGAGCCAGCTGGTCTTCACGCACGCCACAGCTCTGGAAACCTGAAGACCAGGTGGCCTGCACGCACATGCTCACCAGCCAGCTGATCTTCAGGTTTCCGGGGCTGCGGCACATGCAAAGATCAGCTGGCTGATGAACATGTGCGCACTGGAAACCAGAGCAGCTGGCGACGGTGTGCGTGCACAAAGAGAAGGCTCTGCATGCCACCTCTGGCACACGTGCCATAGGTTCGCCATCCCAGGTATAGGGTCTCCTGCTTGAACAGGGGGCTGGACTAGAAGACCTCCAAGGTCCCTCCCAGCTCACTGTATTATTCTAAATTCTGAATTTTCAAAATGAAATTGGAAATTTCCAAAGTGCTTAAAACCTAAGAAAGAGAAAAATGGATGAACTGCAGTGGAGGGTTGCCCCCGGTTCCCACTGGTTCTATAGAACCAGTAGTAAAACCGGCAGTACCGGTTTTACCGACCCCGATGTTATCAAAACACTTTTGCGCTTGCGCAGAAGAGGGTGCGTGCGCGTGGCCTCGCTGCGAACTGGTAGTAAAGGTAAGTAGAACCCACCCCTGGTGAACTGGTATTACCTTTGAAAGTTTTCGGGGAGAGAATAACTTGTGATTGCTAGGAGACGAAGGAGAACATCCTCTGCAGACCAAACAAGAAAGGCAATCAAGAAAGCCATTTAAGTTAATGTTCACATTAGCAATAACAGAAAAGAACTGGGCAACTTGCCGCAGGCCAAATCACTGCTGCCAATTCACCATGGCCAACTCGTCACGGGACAATTCGCCGTGGAAAAATTCAACCACTTTATTTAATTATTTAAAATACAGGTAGTCCTCGACCTTCAACAGTTCATTTAGTGACCGTTCAAAGTTACAACGGTACTGGAAAAAGTGAGTTATGACCGTTTTTCAGTCTTACAGCTTTTGCAGCATCCCCATGGTCACGTGATCCAAATTCAGACACTTGGCAACTCACTCATATTTATGACGGTTGCAGTGTCCCCGGGGTGTGGCAGGGTGCGTGAAAACCTTTTGTGACTTTCTCACAAGCAAAATCAATGGGGAAGCCAGACTCACTTAACAGCCTTTAAATTACTGACTGACTGTTAAGTGAACAGTGGTTCACTTAACCACGGTGGCAAGATAGGTCACAAAATGGGACAAAACTCACTCAACGAAGGTCTCACAGAAATGTTGGGCTCAATTTGGTTGTAAGTCGAGGACAACTTGTAATTAAAGTTTTATTTTAATTTTTGTCATTCACATTTCATTTTGTCCCTCCTTTTGAATCCTTTCTTTAATGATTTTATTTCACCATTTTTTTGATGTTATGTAACTTTGGTCCTGTGGTGAGTTGGCCGTGGCAAGTTAGCTGTGGTGAATTGGCCATGATGAGTTGGCCTAGAAACGAAATAACTGAATTCACAAAGAGACAGCCTAAAAGAGCCAGAAAGTTCATAGACAGAGTTCATTGATCTAATTCCTTATCCCTGTCAGGATGCTGCCTCTGGATCTATTGTTATCGTGAAAGTACTTAAATTAATTAATCTGATAAGATTTATTGTCCAGAAACCTAATCTGCCTCTTGGTGAATAAAGTTATTTCTCCCACTAAATGTTCATACTCTAACGGCTCAACAATCAAGTCCAGATACACACAACATCAAGATGGCTGGTTATTTAGATTTTAGATTTTAGATTTTCTTTTTTTCTCTTTTTGGAAAACACTTTTCTCTGTCCTGGTTTTGCAACTCTTGCCAATCTTCCCCAATTCTTTTCAAGAAATTTATTTGAACGCTGGTAAATTCATAGCCTTGGTGCTTTCATTGCAACAATATCTTCTTCTTTTGTAGTCAATCTTAACATAGCTTATTTAAAACATATTTTCTATACATTTTCCTTCTGAAACTGAGTTCACCAAAAATAGATTTTGTAATGCAGCTATGTATTATTATTTTTAGATGCTTCTCATTTTCTTTACTTGTTTAATTGTGTACTCATGGTTCTTTCAATGTAGGTTTATATAGGGTCTTCAATATAGCATTTCCTGCTTGAACAGGGGGTTGGACTAGAAGATCCCTTACAACTTTGTTATTCTGTTATTCAATGTTTCCCTTCACCAAAATGCCCGTCAAACTGGAACTTCTTAAATATTTCTACTGAGAAAACAGTAACGAATATCTCCTTAAACACGTTGTAGTCGACTTTGCTAAAATACAAGTTGAATGTCTGAACATGCTTAGTTTCCCCTTTCTCTGAGTGGCATAAATCTCAAAGTATCCTTATCACTTCTGGTCAAAGGTTTGCATTTTACAATTAGGTTTTTCCTGGTAATCAAGCAGCCCAGGAAAGCTGCTTCTATATTGTTCCTTTTCTTTAACTTCTGGAAAATGAAAACGCCATCAAGGTAATAAGAATAAATTACATGTCTTTTCTTAACATTTTTTTTTTCTTTCCAAAGGTCTGGTATTTAATTCATTTAAAAAGAGATCTGTGCTACTAAATAATTTAATAAAACATTTTTAAAAGTTCAGCTTTTCAAAACACATTATGTGCAGTATTATTGTGAGAAAAATGCTATTTGCCTGTCATTAACAATTGCACTGGAAATTTAAGAGAAACACCAGATAATCCATAAAGCAATAAAGGTAAGACTCCACTGATTAATAAGTAGAATCCAACACATTTTGTAATACAATAGACCAGTGTTTCTCAACCTTGGAAGCTTGAAGATGGGTGGACTTCAACTCCCAGAATCCCCCAGCCAGCAGGGCTGGCTGGGGGATTCTGGGAGTTGAAGTCCACCCATCTTCAAGCTACCGAGCTTAAGAAACACTGCAATAGACTTTCCATTAAGTGGCTTTTGTATACAATGGCAGTACTGTCTTACACAAAGAGAAACAAAGATTAGGAAATATATACTGTTCCTCTTTTGTATACAAATCCTTGAACTATGTTTAGGTTTTCGAGTTCCTCTTCCTGGACAAATAAGTAAATTTAATGAATATCTGTCACTTTTGAGTAACCAACTCAGTGATGTAGCTTATATCTCAGACTGGGGAAGCTAGAGATAAAATAATTTCCTTTGTTTTGTTATCATGGTTGACATCCTAACCAAGAGCAACTTTATAATGGATCCATTCATGTGCAGCAAAAGTTTTATCTCATGCATTACTATCAACAGAGCCTTTTGTCTGTTAGAGCAAAAACCAATGACGTTAAAAGGGTCAGACAGTTGAAATAATTAATATGGAGATTTCTTTTAAATGGATGAACGTGATTGCACTGTAGATAAAAATGGAATCGTTAACACAATCATACAATGGCAAATCACCAAGTTGTATAATTACTTGATTTCACTGAGGGCTGCATCAGGGTTGTTTTTGACCTGATTTTGGCAGGGGGGGCAGCTTGATGTCACTCGTATTGGGGTGCCTGTGACAGCCCGAGCATTCTGCCAGCAAAAACGGGCTCCCGAGCTCCGTTTTTGGCTGCAATGGCCTCCTGCAAACCTCTGCCAGCGAAAACAGAGCTTGGGAGCCCGTTTTTGCTGGCAGAGGCACCACGGACTAGTCCTTTGCTGTTTCCAGGGTGACCCCGTGGGCCAGATCTAAGCACCCCATAGGCCGGATCCGTCCCATGGGCCTTGAGTTTGGTACGCCTGCCCTACAGTGTTCTTGGTAAACTGTTGAAAGTGATTTGCCATTTCCTTCTTCCTAGGGTTGAGAGAGAGTGACTGGCCAAGGTCACCCAATGAGAGACACAGCACAAAGGACCGTAACTATCTTTTTCTTCCTCCACTTTTATCCTTCTTTTTCAACGCATAGCAAGTCTAATCTGATTGCAGTAACTGCTAATACCAAACGAACTTAGCTAGAGTAGGCAGTGGAGATGCCACTAAGTGATTTGATGAATGTCTTGTTACATAGCTCTTGAGTGTGCCATCTGAAAAGAAAGACGTCAAATGCAACTCCGTGGGGGGAAGCTGCATAATTCTGGATCTGCCTGGAGATCATCTGGAGATGATAGAGTGGATCGTGGAGAAATGTAGAGGAGGATAAAATTGCTAAAAAAATAACACATATTCTGCATCAGTTTCAGGCATGTCAGGCAAATGAAATTTAATAGGTTGGGCCATGATCCCAACAAAGCCATTAAGAAAGGAGGATGAAAATTGTCCGACGAAACCAGACTCAAGATTCAATGAAAATAGAAGCTTTATGATAAGAAGGAGGGAGGAAGAGAAGGAAATATGTAGGTTGCTTACCTGTTCCTTTCGTGCCATAAGGTAGTTCATAAAGGGAGGGGGTCTTCACCCAGAAATAATCCTTCAGGTGTAAAAACAGTGGAGGTTCCCGTGTATAACTGAAGTTAAGGAAGAAAAGATGATGATATGAGTTAAGAGGCCGTTGGTAGCTTCTCTACTTTATCTTTCCTTTCTTATTGAGCAATGCTTTCTTGCCCCACCACATTCCTCTCCCCTCTGAAGTCAAGGAAAATTAAATAGAAAAGACCTGCAGTCATCTCATTCTTCTACCAAACAATCAGCCCAGTTGTGGAATTCAAATTTTTTTACTGCCGGTTCTGTGGGCATGGCAGGGGAAGGATATTGCAAAATCCCCATTCCCTCCCCACTCCTAAAGGAAGAATATTGCAAAATCTCCATTCCCACCCCACTCTGGGACCAGCCAGAGGTGGTATTTGTCATTTTTTATTTATTATTATTATTATTTGATTTATATGCCGCCCTTCTCCGGAGACTCAGGGCGGCTTACAATGCGTTAAGCAATAGCCTTCATCCTTTTGTATATTTATATAAAGTCAGCTCATTGCCCCCACAAACTGGGTCCTCAATTTACCTACCTTAGAAAGGATGGAAGGCTGAGTCAACCTTGAGCCTTGAGTTTGGAGAACCTTGAGGTTCTCTGAACTACTCAAAATTTCTGCTACCGGTTCTCCAGAACCTATCAGAACCTGCTGGATTCACCCCTGAATCAGTCCCGTTACTCACTTTGGTATCAATTGTGCAGCTTTCTTTTCTACTTCTTTGAAAGGACAAGTCATCTTTTCATCTTGGAAGTGGAAATCAAAACTGGAAGACAAATGGCAAGGAGGAGGAAAGTGATATTATTGTTGTTGTTGTTCTTAATCAGGAGTGCCAAACTCAAGGCCCGTGGGTCACATCCGGCCCACAGGACCACCCTGGAAACAGCGAAGGATTGGCCCATGGTGCTTCTGCCAGCGAAAACGAGCTGCCAATCTCTGTTTTCAGATGGGACAGCCTCCTGCAACCCTCTGCCAGTGAAAACAGACACTGGCCCCTGACACCAGTGACGTCAATCTGACCATGCCCACGAAGACCCCCCCCCCTTGAGGTCAAACACAACCTTGATGCGGCCCTCAATAAAATCGAGTTTGACACCCCTGTTGTTAATGATCTGCAGTTAGATTCCCAGATTAAGGGGGAAATTTAATAATTCAAGTCTTATTATTATTAGCAGTACTAATAGTACTAATAATATTAATCTACATTCTAGTTTCATAATCTTAAAATTGGAGAAAACTAAATAATCCAAATCCTAACTGAGGACCTAAGAAGTATCAAGATAGTGCCTAACGATATAGGCCAGTGATGGCGAACCTTTTCGGCACCAAGTGCTGAAAATGGAGCGTGTGTGTGCGTGTCTGGGCCGCAACCCAGAAGAGGAACTGCCCAGGGCGCATGTGCACACTCGAAAATGAACTTCCGGTTTCAGCTAGCAATTCTTCTGAGTTTCTGGCGCACATGTGCACGCGATGATCAGCTGGCCGGCGCGCATGTTCACACAGGAAAACGGAAGACCAGCTCTTCCAGTTTCCAGCACTGCCGCATGCAAAAAGGCCAGCTGATCATCGCAAGCGCCTGCACACCAGGAACCCGGAAGAGGAACAGGCGATGCCGTGTGTACCAGGCAACATGGCTCCGCGTGCCACTTCGGGCGCGGGTGCCATAGGTTCGCCATCACGGATATAGGTAGTTCCAAACAAGGTTTTGGTAAAATTGATTTTTTTAAAAAATAGGGCATTCACTTATGATTATTTTCCTGCTTCAGTTAATAAGAAGCAATTACATGGCGCCAGTCCTCCAAGATAGATCAGCCTAGGAAAGCAAAGTCATGCAAGCTAGAATAACTTTTATCACAGAGTTACAAAACAAAATCCATAATGGGCTGTGTCCGATAAATAAAATATGATTCTACGGCAGGTATGTGAATAAGGATCTCAGAGTTAACCCTTTGTGGCTGTCTGGAACAAAGGCAGGGAGGGGCAAAGCACATTAAGACTTGCAAGTTTCTGTTATTGTAACCTCACAATAAATGTAGTATTAGTGTTGTAGTTCCCTGATTTAGACTTCTTCCAAGGCTGATATTTATTTTGCAAGTCTGAACACCATCAGCCTTGGAAGCTTCCTGGGTATGAATCTCCATGCTGGGCCAGCCACCTTCTCCCAGCCCAATCTACCTCATAGTGTCCTTATTGGGGCATAGTAGAGGGGATGCTATATATTTTGCCTTGAGCCAATAAGTATTGTATATACAGATATAGTCCCCACTTTCATGCTGTATTAAAAATGGACCAATAAACAAGAAGAATTCAGAACAGAAATCTTGTTATACATCTCTCTCTTTCCCTCCCTCTCATTTCTCATTCTCTCTCTCCCTCCCTCCCTCTCTCTCTCTCTCTCTCTCTCTGTATGTATGTCTCAAATGGGCTCAAAAACTCTGAAAAGTGACCTCTAGTTAGTGTTGTCCATCTAATTAACCTATCTTAGAAAGGAGACAGAGCAAAGAATAATGAAGTTCCTATAATCCAGTTTTTTTTTTTTTAAGAAATACACTCACAGCGGTATATACCTTTCTTCTCGGGATATTGTATACCACACCATCAGCAAAAATACAGCCAATACTCCAAGTATCTTCCATCCTGAGCAAAGAAAAGAGTAGGCAAAGGGTTAAGCCTGGGTCCTTCAACAGTGGAATCTTTCAACCGTAAAATACTCCCAAATGTGGAAGAAAGGAGAGTTAGTTTAATAAATTTGAATGAATGAATGAATGAATGAACGAATGAATGGAGTAGGCAGTTTTTTTCAATATTCGGAACACTAATGCTTTCCATTAAAATAAAAACAAACAAACCACACCCCCACCCCCACCCCCCAAAAATAGGTATAGGGAAAGAAATCCATCATGGAATTTGTAAGATTCTGCTAACTCTAAGTTTCTAGCATTAAAACAGAACAGAACAGAACAGAACAGAATAACAGAGTTGGAAGGGACCATGGAGGTCTTCTAGTCCAACCCCCTGCCTAGGCAAGAAACCCTATACCACTTCAGACAAATAGTTATCCAACATCTTCTAGTACATTCATATGTACTTGCTACTCTCTCTGCACCTTTGAATGCAGTTACGTTTAAAATTGGGTAGCTCAAACCAGCAAAAGAAATCTTACTTCCAACTTGGCTTGTTGTAATCAAGGCCAAACGCAATGTAGATAGCAGGAGAAACAATGCAGGTAAAGAAAACAGCGTACAGGTAGTCTTTGACTTACAACAGTTCGCTTAGTGATCATTTGAAAAAAGCCTTGAAAAAAATGACTTTTTCATACTTACTACGTTTGCAGTACCCACGGCTACGTCATCAAAATCCAGATGCTTGGCAACTGATTCATATTTATGACAGTTGCAGTGTCCCGGGGTCACGTGGTCCCCTTTTGTGACCAACTGACAAGCAAAGTCAATGGGGAAGCCAGATTCACTTAACAGTTATGTTACTCGCTTAACAACAGAGTGATTCATTTTAATGACCGTGGCAAGAAAGGTGATAAAATGGGGCAAAGCTCACTTAACAACTATGTCACTTAGCAGCAGAAATTTTGGGCTCAGTTGTGGTTGTAAGTCGAGGGCTAGCCGTATCGCATCCTTTCTGCGGTGTGCACAAAAGGACTAAAAAAGAAATGAGGGTGCCCGAACTGAAGTTATTTCTGCTTTGAGCCAGGCCTTTCTTTCCTTCAGTAAGAAGAGGAAGCAAAGTTTGGGGTATCGTTTGATATTCGGGGGGGTTGGGGGGAATCAGTGGTGGGTTCCTCCTGGTTTAGCCCGGTTCCGCCGAGCCGGTAGTGGTGACGATATGACATCACCGAACCGGTTCTCTTTGTTCAGGAGCTGGGCCCTCCTGCTCCGCCCACGTTATTCTTATCTTTTATTTGGCCCTGCCCCCAATCTATTTGCTGCCTCCCAAGTCCCAGCTGATGGCTAGAAGGCAAAAAACTGTTTAAACTCTTGCCATGGGGCTTCAAAGGGCCGCCCTACAGCTGATCAGTGTTAAAAGGCAGTGTGGTGGTAGACCAGTGCCTCCAAAAACAAATGAGTAGACCGGTATAGCTCTGCAAGCAGTTAAAAGCCTGATAGACCAGTACCTCTGCTAAATCCTAAAGAATTGTCACATGACCATCAAACCACGCCCACAAAATAAGCCACGCCCACAGAACCGGTAGTATAAATTTTAGAACCCACCCCTGGGGGGGAATGGAAAATAAATCTAACACTTCGACAAAAACTCAAGTACTTTTCCACTGATATTTTTGAACCAATAAAATAAGTACATCTGTAAGCCAAAGAAAAGTCTGGCTTGATTTATAGCCTCTACGCTTCTTGCTCTCCCAGTTTTGAGCTACATTTTTTAAAGATGAAATTAAAAAACACATAGCTCCACTCTCATCTCTCAACAATGTCGAAAACAGAGAACCTAATTTTATTTAGACGACACCCACTCACTGACACTACAGCTGCATATCTACTATTAATTCTATAAATCACAGGGCAGGAAAAGAAAACTGAACAGATGGTCAGAACTGAACTGGCTCGGGAGCTCCAGAAAGGCCGTTTAAGCAACCTATTTAAAAGAAGATTATGCAGGACCTAGCAAATTAACTCCTTTAAGTACTTCATCCTGGCAGAGTTTGCAGAACAGACTTAACTTGGTTAATCCTTTTTCTGGGTTTGAATAGTGGATCATTGAACTCTTAACTAACCTAATAGACTGGGTTCACAAATGCACCACGCAGAAAGTAAAAAAGAAAGAGAAAAATGTATAAAGTCAGCTTAGTTTGCTGTGCCAAGATCTTGTTAGTTACCAGCCTCTCTCACACTGAACTGTAATACAGGTAATCCTCAATTTACAACCACAACTGAGTCCAAAATTTTTGTTGTTAAGTGAGACATTTGTTAAATGCATTTTTGCCCTATTTTACAACCTCTCTCGACACAGCTGTTAAGTGAATCACTGAGATAGATAGATAGATAGATAGATAGATAGATAGATAGATAGATAATAGATAAATAGACAGTAGATAGATAGATAGATAGACAGTTGATAGATGATAGATAGATAGATAGATGATAGATAGATAGTTGATAGATGATAGATAGATGATAGATAGATAGACAGTTGATAGATGATAGATATAGATGATAGATAGATGATAGATAGATAAATAGACAGATGATAGATAATGATAGATAGATGATAGATAGATGATAGATAGATAGATGATAGATAGATAGATAGATAGATGATAGATAGATAGATGATCGATAGATAGATAGATAGATGATAGATAGAGATAGATGATCGATAGATAGATGATAGATAGATAGAGATAGATAGATGATAGATAGATAGATAGATAGATAGATAGATAGATAGATAGATAGATAGATAGATAGATTTATTAATTAGCCTATAGGCCATATCAAAGCACAAGGTTCAAACACATATCACCAATAAAATCCTATACAAACCATTTAAAATAAGAGTAGGGTAATATACAATAGTTATAGGATAAGATACAATATAATTTAATACATAAATTTGTAAAATAGAATAAAATGACTTAAAATTATATTTCGGTGTCACCCTTACAATCTACCCCAATCAGTCCCACATATGCAGATCTCATCTGAACCCTTTTGTTTAAGTACTGTGCTGTGTTAAATGTTATTTTTAGGTTCTGGCTGCACATAAAGTAAGTTGTTTTGATATGGGGATCCCAGTGGGTCCTTTGTTTGGTATATGGACCAAGGTACCTTCTCTCACCCCCTTATGCAAGCAACAGTCAACTAGGATGGGAGCCAGGTCTTCTACCTCTGTCGCTCAGCAAATGCAGAGACGCTCATTGTAGGGTATAGAATGCAATCTCCCATATCTGACCATTGTGCCCAGCTGTTCAAATCTCGCTCGCGTAAATATCTCCCTAAGACGTTTTGGCAGTTGTAACTTCAAATAGCTGTCTACTTGAAAAGTATGTTTGGATTTGCTCAGCCATTTCAAGTTACCCACCTTTAAGTTACCCTTATGCAGTTGATAAGTTAGTAACCTAGTTGTTGAGTGAATCTAGTTACCTACAGGCTCTGCTTCTCAGAAAGTTGCCAAAGGCAATCACATGACCTTGGGACCCAGCAATGGTCAAAAAAAAAAAAAATGAGTCAGTTGCCCAAGCATATGAATTTTTGTGACATGACCATGGGGATGCTACAACGGTGATGTGAGTCACATGGTCGTTAAACGAATCCAGCACACCCAATTGGCGTTTTTGGCCATTTTCCCCTGGACAATGGCAGCAAGTGTTGTAAATCACAATCATGTAATCACAGTGACTCCCTTTACAATGGTTGTACAACTGTGACTCTCTTGCAAATTACACTCATGTTAACCATAGGATGTTGCAACGAGCCATAAATATGAGCCAGTTCCCAAGCACTCCCCCAAAAAAACCACCGACTGCAGTGAGGTGGGAACAGCAGTCATAAACAGCATTTTTGAAGCCTTTTGTCATTTTGAGAAGTCATTGAGGACTCCCTGTAACTAAGTATTCCCTTTTGTCTCCCTCCCCAAAATTAAACTCAAATCATTCATCGTGACACAGGTAGGCAAACAGAAATAAACTGACAAGAGGTGAAACCACCTGGAGCTCTGTAGTTGGTTCCACTTCATGAAACTTCTCTCTGCCTCATTTTGCAGTTCCATGTGACCCCGTTCAAACAATAAATGACCCTGGCATCACCCTCGATTTTCTGGAAACACTTTTCAGGGGACGGAGAAGAAAAGCTGCTTTTCATTGTGCAACTTTTAGGTGCAACCCAACACTCCAAATTTCAGAGCACTGAAGCTACCACCCAGCTCTTGTGGGGAATTTTCCACACAAGTTGTAAATCTTTAAAATTTAAGCAGAGCTGAAGAAGCTTCTTGGATGAGAAGTGAAACGTCTTCAAAGGAAAAAAAAAACAGAAAGTCCAGTTGCCTCCTGAAAAAGCATTTTTGGAATAAGCATGACCTGGATGACTGAGAATCTCTATAGATCTGGGATGGCGAACCGATGGCACATGTGCCAGGGGTGGCACGCAGAGCCCTTTCTGTGTGCACACGCGCCGCTGCCAGCTACTCTTCTGGTTTCCAGTGCACGCGTGCACGCCGGCCAGCTGATCTTCGTGTGTGCCAGAGCCCCGGAAACCTGAAAACCAGCTGGCCGGCATGCATGCGCACAGGCGCCAAGCTGGCCTTTGAGTTTCTGGGGCTCTGGTGTGTGCATGCCAGGGGTGGGTTCAATTTTTTTTACTAACGGTTCTGTGGGTGTGGCTTATTTTGTGGGCATGGCTTGATGGTCATGTGACAATTCTTTAGGATTTAGCAAAGGTACTGGTCTACCAGGTTTTTAACTGCTTGCAGAGCTGTACCGGTCTACTCATTTGTTTTTGGAGGCACCGGTCTACCCATTTATTTTTGCAGGCACTGATCTACTCATTTGTTTTTGTAGGCACTGGTCTACTCATTTATTTTTGCAGGCACTGGTCTACTCATTTGTTTTTGGAGGCACCGGTCTACCAGCACACTGCCTTTTAACACTGATCAGTTGTAGGGCGGCCCTTTGAAGCCCGTGGCAAGTTTAAACAGTTTTTTTTTCCTTCTAGCCGATTAGCTGGGACTCAGGAGGCAGCAATAGATTGGGGGTGGGGCCAAATAAAAGAATAATGCGGGGGGGCGGGGGGCAGAACCGGTTCAGTGACGTCATATCGCCACTGCTACTGGCTTGGCCGAACCGGGCCGAACCAGGAGGAACCCACCACCTCTGCATGAATGCATACGTGCACACGCAAAATCGTTTTCCGATTTGGGCACTTGGTGCTGAAAAGGTTTGCTATCACTGCTATAGTTTTCTAGCTATGTACTTTTGGATGAACACCCTTCGAATGGTGTGGGAGTATGAACGGGTTTTCCGAAAAATTGCAAACTACATGAACCATTTGCTCTTCAGTTTGAGATGCAGACAACACAGACCCATCTTCAACAGTGAAGAGATACAGGGCAGAAAATGTCCTGCAGCATGAAGTCTTCACACCCATTTGCACTACTCAGGTGACCCTGAGGACACAGATAAATCTCCAAGTGGCCTCAACGACTCTCTAAAACAGTGGTCACCAACTGGTGGTCCGTGGACCACTGGTGGTCTGTGAGAAAATGTTGGTAATCCGCAGAAAAATTATTTGCATTTTATGTTGCGCAAAATACTATTTATCTTTTTAAAAAATTCATATTAGTGGTCCGAAGGATTTAAAATTATGAATTTAGTGGTCCCTGAGGTCCAAAAGGTTGGTGACCCCTGCTCTAAAAGAATGCGAATGACCAGCTGTCTGCAAGGAGAATAAATCCTTCCGTTCCCCACCATCCAGTCAGAACTGAAGAAGCTTCTCGGATGAGAAGCAAAACATCTTCAAAGAAAACCCCAGAAAGTCCATTTGCTTCCTGAAAAAGCACCTTTGGGAAACTATGACCTGGATGACTGAGAATCTCCATAGACTTAAATCTTTAAAACCACTGATCTAACTGGTGACTGGGAATGCATTGCTATCGCAATCAGTGTACAGTGTACTTCAGACAATAAAAGAAGCCAAGAAGAATCTTGATTTAAATCAATGATTTTAAATGATTTTAAAAAAACAAATATTTTTTTTTAGATGTCTTTTAAAAACCATCAGCCTGCCTCAGATAATGCAACTATGCAAAAGGTGCTCCACCAGTATTATCCTACTTTATGTAAAAGTCCAGAAATTTCCATTGAAAGAGTGGCTGAATATTTACATAAACAGAATTTACTGAAGAAAATCAAGGACAAATTTTGTGAAATTATTGAAAAGTCTAAAACCGGAAAGGCACCTGGTGCCGATAATCTGGCAACCTCTTATTATAAATGTTTTGAGGATAAACTTTTGCAACCTTTACAACAAATGATGAATATCACTTTACGGAATGAAAAATTCCTGACAGCCATAAAAAGGCTAATACACCATTACAAGTAGTCCTTGACTTATAACCATTCGTTTAGTGACTGTTCAAAGTTACTATGATACTGAAAAAGAAGTGACACAACCATGCATCCCCATGATTATGCGACCAAAATTCGGACACTTGTCAACTGGCATGTATTTATGATTCACGTGATCAAAACTGCATGATCACCAACAAACAAATTCAATGGGGAAGACAGATTCCCTTAACAACCGTGTTATTAACTTTGCAACTACGACGATTCACTAAACAACTGTGGCAAGAAAAGTTGTAAAATGGGGCGAATCTCACTTAACAACTGTCTTATATGCAATGGAAATTTTTGGGCTCAATGGCAGTCGTAAGTCGAATGCCTAAAACAAACCCTGATTTCCCTATTGAACAGGAAATTATTGACTAACATCTTCACTGAACAATGGCTATAAATTGTTTACTACAATTTTGGCTGAAAATAATTTTGCCGATAAAAATTGGATTCAAATATATACACGAGTAGGATTTTAAACATGAATATTCTATTGGAGCCAGAACTTTTTCTTTTAGGAGTGGTGGATATACAGCTGGAAAAGAGCAACGGAAGGTGATTTCAGAATAGGATTACTCTGTTTGCAAAGAGATGCACAGAGATTACCGTGCACACAGGACATGATAGCAGTGTTCCATATCTAAGGGGCTGCAATGAAGAAGGGGGGAGGGGCATGACATATTCTCCGAAGCACCTGAAGGCAGGACTAGGAAATCTCCAAGTCCCTTCCAACGTCAATGATTCTGTTATTCACACACAGATGGCAAGATTTGACATTGTTCATTGCTGAGATGAACAAATCAACTTGTTTGATTAGAGGAAACACACATTCATCAATGATAGGAAGCCCATGTTTGCATAATAAAGATTTTACATAATAAGATTGAAATAATGGATTATAGAAAGAAGGAACACATGAAGCCATTTTAGAGACAAAAGTTTGATTATAATTGTGTATATAAAATTGCTGAGAAGAAGACTAGAAGCATTTTATTTTTATTTTTTTTGCAATTATTTTCTGTGCTTTTTTCCTTTCTTTTCCCAATCTTCTTTGCCCTTTTCTTTCCTCTTTTTCACATTTACTATTTGTCTTCGAATGTCTTTTTATTATCCACATTGAACCCTTTGACTAAAAACTATTTAGAAAAACAACAACCGGACTCTTGCAAATTGCTGCGCAAGTATTATTTTTGTGCTTTCGTTAGGGACACGGAAGAGTCAAGATTGCTACTGTTGTTTCTTCCGTTTCCCCCTTTACCCTGTCAATTGGACAATATTTTATTTTTGGATCAGCAAGAGGGTACACAAGGCAGAAAGAAAAAGTCAGCGAGAGTGGACTTACGAGACTTGTTGATCATTTTTATCAGCAGATATGGAAAGGTCTTGCAACTGAGGCTCTCATGGCGAACATCAGGAGTTACCTGGAAAAGGAAGACGTTTGTTAAAAATCTCATCGCACCCAGGAGGAAACCCGAAGAGTTGGGACATATCCTTCCCATGTAGGTCACTGAACTCACAACAGATGGATTGCAACAGCATGTGATTAAGCTACTACAGATTTTAGGGGTGGGAATGGTGGGGAGAGATATTGAATATATAAAATGTACTGTGTTAGAACAACAATACGATAAAATTGTGCATCTCTTTACTATCATTTTCTTCCTTGATCAAAATGTAAACACATCTCGGATACATTGAAAAGATTCAAAATGCCATATATATATACCAGTATATATAATAATAATAACTTTATTGTCATTGCACGTGTATACACAGTATACCCATACAACGAAATTCACTTAACGCCCAAAGACCAGGTCCAACACACACAACAATCCCCAAACACACTCCCTCCCACCACAATTCCCCACCCCTAAACCACCCAAACATCCACACAACAGACCAAGTATATAAAATAGCATGTCACTTTTTCTGTTCATCTTTTTGAAACTGTTAATTTCTAATGTTAATTATTGTTTGTAGCCATCGGCAAAACATTAAGTACATTATTACAATTGCTTTTTTTGGGGGGGGGGGACATGTCAGGGGCTTTTTCTTCCTTTCCTCTTGGTCAGAATTATAGGTTCTCCAAACAGTTCATATTTCAAGCATGTTGCTTTTTCTGTTATTTTTTGACATTTTTAACCTTTATTTACGATCATTATCCTTGATCAAAATTTAAACACTTTCCAGATACAGTGAAAAGATTCAAACGCTGTCTCTCTCTCTCTCTATATATATATAAATATATAAATGTGTATATATGCTACACACACAAACACATGTACACACACAAATATTCAAATCTTTTCAATGTATCTGGAATGTGTTTAAATTTTGTTCAAGGATGAAAATGATGGTAAATAGATGCACAATTGTAAATATTCTTGTAAAATAATCAATATTCACTCAGTGTCATTTACTGAACTCAAAATGAGCACATCTGAAGATTTAACAACAAATGGTCAACAAATACATTTAATAGCCTTTTTGCACATTATTTACACTCCAATATATATTTACGCCTTTTCAGCTTAGATCATGCAACTATATATGTTTGCATTTGATAAAAACTGACATCTGTATTACGTTATATATGGATATATATCCATTCAGCAAAGAAACCAAAAGATATTTCCTATTCTCCCTGCATTTTCAGACAGAAAATACTGTTCGTCTAAAATTTAACCATGGGAAAACTTTAGCTTCCACCCCTTGCCTCTAAATTTACTGAGAAACATTTTCTTTTTGCAGAGAGAGAGAAAAATAAGAACCGTACAAAGAAGTGCATTCTAATTTTTCACATTCAACAAATTTTAAAGGAAGATCTCAACCATAATAATAATTTAAAAAAAAACATTTAGCTGAACGTTCGCAAAAATGAATCTCAAAACAACAGGTGTGTTTACACTGCAGACTGCATACAATCCATTTTTTCCTTTCATTTCATTGATCGGGTTGAGAAGGAAGAAGTAATAAAACTTTTCTACTGGCCACCTTCTCCATCCATGAATAAAGTTGCCCCAATCCACATCTCTTCTGACAGAGCAGAACTTACCGCTTCCATGATTCCCTGCAAATTTCAGCACCCTGGTCTTGCACATCTCCTAAAATAGAAAAGGGAGCTTTCCTGCCCGTTTCACTGTTTACTTGTGAACACACCTATGCTTGAAGTCAACTTTCATGCCCAGGCTGTGCCACGCAAGCTGACAAATGTGAATAAGAGATGAAACAACGGTTTGGAAAAACATGTTCCCCGGTTCTGATGAACTGTGCAAAACCTCCTGTCCAGTTTTAATCACTTCGGCCTTGATTTTATTATTTATTTTTTTTAAAAAGAGAGCCTGCCCCAAATCATAAAATCTCTCCATTCTATTCTAGATACCCAATGCAGAAAAGATCCACTTTAATCGCTCTGAAGAACAGCAGCTTGGAAAGTGTGATTATGTAGCAGGAAATAGCATCTTCCTTCCCCCTCACTGTTCAACACCTTCTTTACAAACACAGGGACTTATGACCAGTTCTTGCACTTACAACTGTTGCCGCATCCAAGAATCACATGATCCAAATTCGGTGGCTTGGCCATTGGCATGTATTTATGATGGTTGCATTTTTCCAGGGTCATGTGATCCACCACTTGTGACCTTCTCAATTGTCTTTTGACAAGTCAAGAGGGAAGTCTGATTCCCTTTAATGTCCAATCGTTGTGGATGTTAAGGGGAATCAGACTTCTCTCTTGACTTGTCAAAAGCCAATTGGGAAGGTCACAAGTGGTGGATAACAACCGTGACCAAAAAATGATTGTAACATTTATTTATTTATTTATTATTAATTTATTTATTAGTCATATTTCTATGCCGCCCACTCTCCGAGGACTCTGGGCAGCTTACACCAAAGACAGTATACTAAATGCATATTGCCCCCAACAATCTGGGTCCTCATTTTACCCACCTCGGAAGGATGGAAGGCTGAGTCAACCTTGAGCCGGTGAGATTTGATCTGCTGATCTGCTGAACTAGCAGTCAGCTGAAGTAGCTGCAGTACTACACTCTAACCACTGCGCTACCTTGGCTCATTAAATGGGTGTGACTACTTAACAACCCCCTTGCAACATAAATTCTAATTGTGACTGTAAGTGAAGGACTACTTGTAAGCTCTCCCAAATCAATCATTTTAAGGCATATTTCATATTCTGTTTACACAACATTGCAGACAATGGGCTCATTCCCACAACATGCTAAATCATGAATTATCCAGTTCCATTTTCCAATCTAACCTAACTTGTTGAGGACAATCAGCCAATAGCACAATCGGGGTCACAATGACACACAGTCAAGGAAACAAGTAAAAACAAAAATTGTGGGCAAATGGTAATTATTTCCTGAAGGCTATCCCTGAGAACGGGATCATTGAACTTGAGGCACAAATGATCAAAATATCCTATTTCAGACACATTGTGCAAAGACCTAGTTTTCTGGACAAGACTTTTAGGACAGGAAAGTGAGACGGAAAGAGGAGATGATTATCAGCAGAATTACAGATGATGGAGGAACCATTGGAAGTCCAGAAGGACCAGGTTAGGGATAGAATATCATGGGAAAAAATCTTACAGATTTTTTTTTTTTTAATTTGATTTATATGCTGCCCTTCTCCGAAGACTCAGGGCGGCTTACAATGTGCTCAGCAATAGCTTTCATCCTTTTGTATATTTATACAAAGTCAGCTTATTGCCCCCACAAACTGGGTCCTCATTTCACCTACCTTAGAAAGGATGGAAGGCTGAGTCAACCTTGAGCCTTGGCGAGATTCGAACCCTGCAGTAATTGCAGGCAGCTGGTCTTAATAACCAGCTTAATAACAGGGTGCCTTAAACCCCTGTACTACCAAGGCTCTTAACAGAGCTGGAAGGGACATTGTAAGTCATCTAGTCCAGCGGTCACCAACTGGTGGTCCGTGGACCACTGGTGGTCCGTGAGAAAATTTTGGTGGTCCGCAGAAAAATTATTTCCATTTTTTATATTGCACTAAATCGGGTCCTCAAACTACGGCCCCTGGGCCGGATATGTGCAATGAACGTTTGTGTTGCTGCAGAGAGTCTCCCCCTTCGGGTCTTTTTGTGTGGGTCAGAGGGGGACAGAAATTCTGACTTAGGGTCTGCTTCAGCCTCCTGGTGTGGGGCTTTGGGAGAAGGCTGGAGGGAAGCACCGTTGGTGGCTAACAGCCAGAGGGCCTCATTCCAGTGGGACTGCATCATGGCCTGGAACTGGCTGACATCTCAGCCTGCTGAGCCTGCAGGTGCCGGTACCTGGCCTTGAACTCCCACAGGTCTTCCCTCTGCTTGGAGCCTATGCTCGTAGTCCTCAGTGAGATGCTTCTGCTGAGCTTCCTTCTTGGCCAGATCCAATTTGAACTAGGCCAGCTGTTTTGCCAACTCTTTCTCGTGGTGGCTGCTTAGCTCCAACAAGTGCTTCCTGTTAGGGCCCTAAGGAGCCTGGGCAGCCAGGTGAGGAGTAGCTGGGAGAGGAGAGGTGAGTAGAGGCCAGCAAGATGCCCCTCGACGCAAGTGACACCGAGTTGGCCACGCCCACCCAGCCATGCTCCATGACCATCTAGCCATGCTCATCCAGCCGGTCATTAGGCAGACCATATTAGTGGTCCACGGGATTTAAAATTATGAATTTAGTAATCCCTAAGATCCAAAAGGTTGATGACCCTGATCTAGTCCAACCCCCCACCCAAGCAGAAGACTCTACACCATTTCTGACAAATGGCAGTCCAGTCTCTTCTTGAAAGTCTCCAGTGGTGAAGCTCCCACAACTTCCAAAGGCAACTTCTGTTCCATTGGTTGATTGTTCTCACTGTCAGAAAATTTCTCCTTATTTCTAGGTTGAATCTTTCCTTGATCAATTTCCATTCATTATTCCTTATCTGGCCTTCAGGTGCCTTGGAAAATAGCTTGACCCCCTTCTCTCTGTGGCAGCCCTTCAAATATTGGAAAACAGCTATCATGTCTCCCCTGGTCCTTCTCTTCAAATTGATGTATGGATGCTAAGAGGTGCCACTGACTTGATGGCTCTTCATCAATCCATCAATCACTAAGAAAGGAGCCTTCTTCTAAAAGCTAGTCATTTGTCCTTGCAAAGTAGACATCATAAAACCAAACCTTGTAGAGATTTTCAGATTTCTCAAACCCAAACAAAACACAACAATCAGTGTCCCATCACCTGCTTTTACACCACTTTCAACCTTCAGTGATATATATCCTTGGCATGGGAAACCCCTGCCTCCCTGTGTTTCTGATGTACAATTCCCAACACCTCGGGCACAGGTATGCAAGTCTTGGTGTATTCGGGTCTTTACCCATGTAAGATTGAGAGTATCTTGGTGATGTTTCGACGAGGTCCCACTCGTCATCTTCAGGCTGGTGTCTTCAGCTTCGTGCATGTGCGAGCAAAGAATGATCGGAGATGCTGTCTCTCTATAAATACTGGTGGGGAGGTGTGGAGTGCTGGCTTTGTTGTTGTAAGCGGGTTGGTTGGCTGTGTTGTTACATCTTGATTAGTTGATGGAGTTGATGTTTCCAGATTAGTCAGCTGTTTCGTAACATCCTGTGTGGGCAAGGTCCTAGCTGTGTGCCCATTAGGCTTTTGTGTTTTAACAACCTGGGTAATGGGCCGTGTGGCAGCATCCTGAGCTCCAGTGTTGTGACATCCTGACTCCTGAGCTGCAACATCCTGGGTAGTTGGCTGTGTTGTAACATCCTGAGCTTTAGTGTTGTGACGTCCTGAGTTCTGTGATGTATTGTCTTGAGCAGATGGCTGTGACGCAACATCCCGGGCTTTGGTTTGGCTCCGAGTCTGAGGTCTTGTCATGTGCTCATGGCGTGTGTTAGTTTGCTTTGTGTGTGGATCAGAGGGGGGCTCAGCAGCTGGCAATGCCGCCGCAGTCCGGCTCCTGGACGGTGGCTGCAATTCGTCTATGGGATGGATTGGGTTTGAATCTGGTGAGGATGATTGGTGGTGGTGTCATGTGTTATCCTGTCAATGTTTGTGGCTGGGGCTCGTTTGTTGACTAGGGCTAGTTTCCAGATGTCTGGTAGGCGGGAAGTATTGTCACGTTTATTCATGTTATGGGGGTGTTTCTCTATTTTGATGGCTTCCATAATTATTCTCTTGTTGAAGTGTTCAGTTTTGGAGATTAATTTGGTTCCTTCAAAATCAATTATAGAGAGACAGCGTCTCCGATCACGCTTTGCTCGCACATGCACGAAGCTGAAGACACCAGCCTGAAGATGACGAGTGGGACCTCATCGAAATGTCGCCAAGATACTATCAATCTTACACGGGAAAAGACCCAAATACACCAAGACTTGCATAGATAGATAGATAGATAGATAGATAGATAGATAGATAGATAGATAGATAGATAGATAGATAGATATATAAATATATATAAATATATATATATATATATATAAATATATATATATATATATATATATATATCTCCCCCCTGGCTCAAGCTGATGAAGTTAGGAGAACTTGTGGCTCAGAGGTTAATTCAACTGCCTAACATGCAAGAAGCCCAAATTCAAATCCGAGCAAGGGTATGGCTAGCTGATGAGAGCTAAATAGCTTGAAATAGATCTATACTAGTCTCCCTTTATTTCTTTATCAGCAAATAAATATATATATACACACACACACATATTGTTTAAAATCTCCCGCTTCAAATATGGCAAATAGCAACAGCCTAAGAGGCAGTCAACTCATAGCCGAGCAAACTATAACTTGCTTTTCATATGATGTGAATAGGTTGCAAAAAAAAAAAGGGGGGGGGGGAGGGAAACAACTATTAAAATAGTTCCATAAACAAATGAGAAAAGTTTGAGCGCAAACATAAATAACTGGTTGGTGCAGAGTACATAGCAACCCGAAATCCGTGTATCTTTTAAAAGTATACTTAGGAAATGTACTAATTGCTTTGTTTTCCCACCGGAATCCCATTACAGATTCCACTTATTCTTCTTCTCGTAAAACACTCAGCAATTTCAGTCCATTACCCAATTTTGGTAGAAATCAGCCATTTCATTTATAGACCCACCCCTTCCTTCCTTTTGAAGAATGACTATCAGCCCAGAAAACAAACAATATCAATAAATTTCCAAATAATCATTTTAAAACTCTCTGGGTTTTATACAGGCCATTCGGTTTATATATTCTCATCATAAATCTACTAAATTGTGATTGTAATAGTCTGTTTAAAGTGTCATAATGAATGAAAACAGGGAGGGAGGGAAGGAAAGAAGGAAGGATTTGATGTCTTACAATTAAAACGTTCTCTTGTTTTAAACCCTGAACACATCTGATAATTTATGGGGCATTGTTGGAGTTGGGTTCAAATTAAGATGGATAAATTATTAACTAATAATATCAGAGCCACCCTCTTTTTAATTATAATTATGCAGTCTTCGGTGTATTACTTACCTTGCTCCCTGAAACTGGGAAGGGCGACACCTTACTCATTTCAACTGAACTGTGTTAAGTGATGAGCTAAAACAGATTGGAAAGGGAGGAGAAAAAGCCAGGAACTCAAAGGAAAAAGCAAAATAATTGAATCGGCAAACTTCTAGGCAAATAGAAAAACAAAACCTGGATTGCAGTAATGGCATTAGGGCCAAATGCAAAACTTTAAAAATAACTCCTCCCCCCCCCATCTTATTTTTTTTAACACAAAAAGGCTGGAGCGTGCAAAGCTAGAAGGAAATACAGCTATGAAAAAAAATGTTTTTAATCCTTGATCTCTAGCTGTAGATCAGGAGGGATAGAATGAAGGATGGAAGAACTTTCCAAAAACTTTCAACTAGTCCTAAGAAAAGAAAGGCCCCAATTACTCTCTCTTGTGGACTGATAAGATTCTCTTTCTTTTGGCAGGTTAGTTCCACCTTCCAGCTCCCTAGGACAAGAAAAGAATTGCAGGAGCAAAATGACTTTGCTGCTTATTTTGGAAGATGCCCTTTTTTCATGCCTTCTATCTGCTGCAAGGGTGAAAAGAGGGAAAACTAAAGCATAGGGCTTAAGTATCTACCAACAAGGCTTTGTACGCAGATTAAAAATATATATATGCAAAAATTAGAAAACACTTCCAAAGCCAGGCCTTTAATTGGATCAGACCTTGTTAGATTTGCAAAACTCTCTCTCCACCCCCTCCCTTTTTCTCTCCCTCTCCTTCCCTCTTTCTCTTCCTCTTTCTCTTCCTTCCTCCCTCTATCTCCCTTTTTTCTCCCTCTCTTCCTCTCCCTCTCCCTCTCTTTCTCTCCCTCCCTCCCTCTCTCTCTCCCTCTTTCTCTTCCTCTCATTCTCTTTCCCTCTTTCTCTCCCCTGCCACATTTGTGTAAAATATGCAGCTGCCATGGAATCATTAATGACACATTTAATTTTCTCAATCCATCTTTGTTTTCAAGTAGTCACTTTCTACTCCAGTTGTCCCAGAAGAGGCCTGCTCCAGTGCATTCTTGCTTGCTAGAGGCTAATTTGGTTTCCAGGAAGTAGAGAACCACATGTCTCCAAACAGCCATCCTATTAGGACGGCCTCTGCAGCCATCTCGTTGCAACGTTTCTCCATTTTCTCTTATCTGTTGAATATAACAACAGGCCAATGTAGGGCTCAGGAATCCACTTGACTATTTTATCAGTGTAAAACACACTATTAAAATCGCAAGTTGGTTATCTTTGCTAGCCAAGACCAAACAACAATTTGTACATTCATGAAATAATACACTATAAAATTAGCCACACCAGAGTTTATATTATATGGGGAGAAGACAGCTTCTAAGAGCCAGAAACAAGAAATGCAGATAGTCCTCGCTTAACGATGGCAATAAATTTCCAAAATGTCTTTCCGATGGGACTAAGGTGCCCAGCATAGTGTTTGTTAGCCTATTTGAGATCCTTTTGTTATATTTTGTACTATAATGCACAGTTTTGCCCAGTTAAAGGTTACAGAAACATGAATTTTAGTATATAGATTTGGTAGAGCATAAAAGTACAATAGCTAATTCATAAACATGTATATGTTTGTTTTGTCTTGTTAATGCACTTTTTTTGGGGGAGCAATGTTGCTTAGCTGTGTTTTGTTTTTGTATTATTATTATTTTTTAATTTGTATATTAAAGTTTCGAATAAAATAATAAAATTGAACTAAAAAGAAGTGCAGTAGCTAAGATAAAATGCAAGAAAGCATCTTCGAATGCCTTGATTCCTGATCCTTAGCGCTTACATTCTGGTAAAGTTTTGCCCAAGGTTACGAGTTTGTATTTCTGAAACAGAAAAGCGGCAATAGCATTTAAACTCATATACCGCCTTTTAGCGTTTTACAGCACTCTCTAGGCAGTTTAAGAGTCAGTCCCAAAGGTGGTTTTTCAAGAGGCAACTGGACTTTCTCTTTTTTTCTTTGAAAACGTTTCGCTTCTCATCCATGTCACTGCGTTATTTTATTTACCAGCTGAGCTCATTATTTCTGGACTGTCTGGCTCTCCGTAGCTTTGCCAACTTCTTATCAGTAAGCTACGTGTTTCCGTATCCACCCACATTCCTTCACTTGCTCTTCACACTCTCTTTCCTTTGTTCTCTTGCCAGAGGTCCGGCTCAGATAGACGGCAAGAATTACTTTCAAAAATGTAACAATTAACTTTTCTTAGTTAGTGAGGTGTTTTATTTTCTTTATAACAAATAAATGAGTTTTATTAGAAACCTTCCTCGCGTTTCTTTTCAGATTATTGCAACTTGGAATAAGCTTCGATTCATCTCCTCCTCTAAACCAGGGTAATTAGTCCCAGAACCAAACATGGGATTAATAAATGCCCTGACATTCTGGTAGCTCGGACGGTTTGATTTATGGCTTTTTTCCTTGTTTTGTTATTTCTGATAAGAGCGCATAGGCAATTAGTTTTTAGCTACTGAGGTACGCTAATTATATTGCTGAGATGCCGAAACAGAAGTAAAACAAATACAAAATGTATTTTGCTGAGGTGGCGGCAGAAAGGAGGTTTCCAGATTTCCAGCCCCTTACTACAGCCACACGCCTGGAACAAGAAAAAGCCGTGGGAACAGAAATGGAGACAGATAAGACAGAAGCTGTTTTTGAAGATGATGATTTACGACTGAGGTCAGTAACATTTTCTTCTGATCTTCCAAGCTCTGAAAAAGTCTTCCCAGAACCTTCTGAATTTGTAACGCTCGATGCAAGGCTAAAGCAAACTGCTGAGCAAAATTCCTCCCACGCAGAGAGAGAAACAATTCATTATTCTCCTCGAAACTCTAAGCTCACCCTGGATGAGCTGGCCATGAAAGCCTACCATATAAAACTCTATGAACAGCAGCTATCCCAAGCAAAAATGGCTATATCTATGCTTGAGCAAGATATGGGAGATAACTTAAATTTTTCAAAAAGCGCCATATTGTCTTCTTGCTCAGAGCCAGACACTCCCCCTGGTGGATTCTGTGTCAGGCCAATTAAGGCAAAGAGCACTGCATACGTCACATGAAAGTCTCCCTGATCAAGTTACACATGTCTTACATAACCACTCCTACTCTAAAGCATACAATGCCCCGTATGCAAAGCTGCCCGAAGCTAAAGGTGCAGCACCATCTGCTGGCAAAAGTAATTTACTACAGGAAGCTGAAATGCCACAAGTGTTTCCACAGGCCCAAACTCAAACACCCCCTGGCGGTGTTGGTGTCCTTTTAGATGGAACAAAGCAAAGGCAAATGATTGCATCTCCAGCAGGTCATGCCAATATTGCAGATCAAGCACAAATGGCAACTGGAATACAGCAGATTCCAGTGCATCAGCCACAGCAGCTACAAATGCCTGCATATGTGCCCCAGCCACAAGTGCAAATAGGGCCACCTCCTGGCCCACCTCCAATGGCACAACCAAGACCATTTTTAGGTCCACAACAGGCACAGCAAATACCACAGGCATTCCTGCCAGCACAGCCAGCATACCAAGTGCAGGCTCCTTACCAGGCATTTTCTGTCTCTCCACTAACTGGTGAGTCAAAACTAAAAATGTCTGAACTCCATGGTTCGAGATTGAAACCTGGTGAACAAATTGGAGGACATTTGACCAAACTGAAAGGTCTGAGAACAGAATTGAGAGAAAGAGGCCATAACATTGAAGATATTCAAATGATCAGCATCATTATTAACTCTTTGAATTATGAATGGAAAGATGCTGTTACAAAAATTAACCAAGTCCCAATTGCTCAACGCACAGTGGACAATGTCTGCAGGCTTTTAATTGAAGAAGAGGCATTCATGTTGGCCACGCCACACTTGAGAGGACCACCCGCATCAAGAGCTCCAGCTAGACGCCCCTTCCGAGGAAGGACCTACGCTCCAAGGATGCCAAGATGCAACACCTGCAATCGTGTGGGACATGCCACCCGGGATTGTCCCCAATGAGTTGCAGCTCCCGTCACATACCAGCCCAGAGGAACAGATTCCAGAGGCAGAGGCGGTAGACAAGGTCGTCGTGGTCCCCGGTATGATCCACAAACTCCACTCGCCACACTGGCTTTAACCAATGATCCACAACCTCAACCAGAGTACGACAGATGACTCCTGTGGACTTTGGACAGTGGTGCAGCATTGCATGTTACCTACAGAAAGGAACTTTTCACAGAAATGCACGAGCCTGAACCAGAGCTACGTGAACTTTACTCTTTTTCAAATCATCCCTGTCAGGTCAAAGGAAAAGGAACTGTTTATGTTGAAGAGCTCGATGCATTCATTCCTGATGTTTATTACATACCAACAGCAACCAGTAATTTGCTTAGTCAGTATCACTTGTCTAGAATGTTAAAGTTCCAAGTTCACCACCTTGAAAAAGCAAGTTACATAGTTAAAGATGGAGATATTGTTGCTGAAACCATATTAATTGGTGGTGTTTATTACTTAAAACCAAAGCCTAAAACACAAACACAGGCAAGTATGCAAACTCCAAAAAGGCAGAGCACAGGCCCAGAGAGAGATGCTCCAGAGAGAGATCCTGTTGCTATTCCAAAGGCTCCTAAAGCCAACAAAAATAGAGTTGGTAAACAGGTTGCTCAGAGCAAGCCTGAGGTTCCGCATAAAAATGTTAATGTTGAGAATTCACTAACAGGTAAACCTTTGCATTCCAGGTGTATCCACAAATGGCATAGAAGATTGGGGCATGCCAGTTTCCGTGTTCTTAGGAAGATGCCGGAGTTCGCAAAAGGTTTGGATCTAAAGGGGTGTAAGGTGTTTTTGGATTGTGCTGTATGCAAGAAGGCCAAATCCAAAGCAGCAGCCATTCCCAAACGCGCTACACACCTGTCAACACGCATTTTTGATTTGGTTCACATTGACATAGTTGGTCCATTCCCGCCATCATTTGGTGGTAGAAAATACTTTCTAACAATTGTTGATAATTATTCTAGATATGGATATGTATATCCTATGAAAGAAAAATCAGAGACCTTTCAGATCTTTAAAGACTTTGCAACCCTTGTTTCTACCCAACATCAAGTTCGCATCGCCAGAATCCAGAGTGATCGTGGTGCCGAATTCATGTCTCAGCGTTTCCAGGACTGGATGCGTAAGAATGGAATTATTCATCAGACGTCGGCGCCTTACACACCGGCTCATAATGGAGTCGCAGAACGAAGACAAGGGGTACTGCAAACCATGATGCGTTGTCTCCTAGAAGACGCCAACCTTGGTAAGATATACTGGGGTGAAGCTATCAAGTACGCAAATTACATTGTCAACCGTACTTGGAGCAGTGTAACAAATCAGACTCCTTTCTTCATGTTGTATGGCTACAAGCCAGATCTTAAAAACATTCATATTTTTGGTTCATATGCTATGGTGAACATTCCCTTAGCTCAAAGAAGAAAAGGAGGTCCAGCAGCAAAGAGACTGAGATTTATGGGTATTGATGATAACTCAAAATGGAGCAAATTTATTGACTCTAAACATGCAATTGTGATTTCCCAATCTGCAAATTTTGAAGAAGATATTGACTGGTCCAGGATTCATTCCAATGATCCTGGAGTTTATTTTCCCAGAGATGATACTGCTGATGCTACACAGATTGATGATCAAGATTCCACTGATTCTTCTCAACCCGATGTTCCGTCTTCGCAAGCCGCGGATGCTGACGCTAGCGACGAAAGTGAGGACGAGGACGAAGCAGAAGAAGACTGGACAGTTG